CGGGTGAGACTCTGCGATCGGCCCTCAGCTCTCTACACAAAGAGCCAGTCATGTGCTTACAGGCTTCCTGCAACTTTTAACTAAACATCAAAAAAATTGTACCCAGCTGTTATGTACTGCTTTCATTCTTGAAAAGCTTTATCTCTGAATTTCAAGGTTGTAATAGAATAACAATTTCTTAAAAATAAGAAGCGGTTATCCTACCGGCATGTTGTTGCTGTTATTTCAAATGTGATCAAACAGAATTCACGGTTAATAACTGAGGTTTTTCCCCGATTTAAGTACTTTGTTCAGTTCTGCATGCACAAATGAGCCAGTAAGGTTGTTAAAATTTGAAATACATCATAACTGCTTTTCTGTCCGAATCAAAATTTTCATATAGATCAATGATCAATTTGACTGAAGATGATTCACGTTACAGTTAGACACATCATACTTGCAACATACCTGCAACATGCTTATCTTGCCTGTCACGTTTTTGTGCAACGCTTGTACTCTTTCAGAATAGCTGTTTGTACATGATGAAATTTTACATTGCTACTGTTTTTGCAATAACACCCACCATCAGCAGATTCAAGTTCAATATACAAGAACACTTTTGGAAAGGTAAGATTAACTTTCAACATTTTCTTCAATTCCTGACAAAAGATATATCCACACGTAAACTTCAAATAAAAATCCATGTACAGTCAAAACATGTACACAAGATTCAAACACATTTAACACTGTTATAACACTAGCTACTATTATCAAAATCTTTAAATGACCAAATTATTCTATAATAACAATAATAATAATAATAAATTAGTATAGCATTTTTTTTACTGTAATATAGAACTTAGTGGTCATTAATATGACTAAACAGGCCATTACAACGATTTACTAATCTTTATATTTCATAATCAATATAATGAAAAATATGTACTTTCATGTGGTGTTTTCAAATGCAAACCAGTGCTATATCTTACAGAGAAATTAGTTATATTTTGTCATTGTTTTTCTTCTGGTTAAACTAATGTATCAGCAGAGAAAAACTCCATCTAGCAAACATACAAATTTGTATGAACAAATGTCATTCGGCACTTTTGATAATTTTAGGCCAAATGGTATTTTGCGTCATGCAAGCTATAAGTTCATACAACTAAAAATAACTACTTACTACCTCTTTCACAAGGTACGCAAAACACCTCACGCGATCCTGCAGATTAGTCTTCTGTTTTTCATACCACTTTTTAAAATCAGCACTTTCTGTACTCCTGAAACTAGTAAAAGCTGAAACCAGGAAAAGTGACTTCCTACCCAAACAATAACTTCAAATAAATGAGATGAGAAATGGAACAAACAGCCACTTCAGCGCATGCTCTTTTGTCCCTACGCTGTGGTCACACATTGTCCTGTTGTGAAGGACGACTGTCCCTGGATGCTGGCTTGGCTTCGCAGTTAGACAGCAGTCCCAATAAAACAGCCATGGATTTAGGTTAGTTAGAACAGACTCATGGAAGTCACTGATAAATGTCGAAATAATTACCATCCATATACTCACTGACATACAGTAAAGCACACATCAACAAACGGCCAAATGATTCATTAGCACTATTTATTACCATTTTCTTCTTGCTTTAATGTTCTTTTCAGTTTACATATAAGGAATCATTCTGTAAGAAGCAACTTTAGCGTTGCTTCAAAATTTCCAATTAAAATACTGTAATCAACACTAGGTGATTTTTTGGGCTGTTGCTGGTGTATTTTATGGACAACTATCAAATTTCTAGGAACAGTACACAAACATAACACAGTATGAAAGGCCAAAAAAGAAAAGCTTCCTTAGGTATCAATTTGCTTAAGAGGTAAGAAGTAGTGAAGATGTAATATAAGGGAATCCATGGTGTAACACAAAGCATCCGGTATCTCAGCTCCACATCCCTGTATTCATCCATTGGACGGTGGCAGCATGTGGTTCAAACATCTAGCATCCTCTCGCCATTCTAGATGCTGAACGCTGAACAGTCAGAATGCATGTGACCACACAGCCGGGCTGCGTATGAAGCGTCTGTTTCCTATCACCTCTTTATCTAGCTGCTAACAACACTTGCTCTCAGTCTCCTGGTTGCCAAGTGGAACACGCTTGGCTCCAACTTTACAAGTCCCTGGGGGAAAGTTGATTAAACTCATGTTTTGCAATTACCGGCAATAGCACATAACTGAAGGTGGCGAGGATCCGACTGAGATACAAAGCGGGCAGTCCGCACACACCTTTCCATGCGAAGCACCAGTCAATCATTTCAGCAAAATCTATTTATAAAAACACAGCCAGTAAGTCACTGGGAAAGCTCAGGATCTATGTATAAGCAGCACACTTTACTCAGCTGTAGAGCAAATTACGCAAAGCCGATGGTCATTGAACAATTAACTGGGCCCAATTTTACCTCGGTACTTTACTTTTTGGACACCAGGAGGAGCTTAACAAACTGATAGCGTTCAGCAAAGGTCCCATCCACTGTGCTTGTGAACATGTTTGGCAAATAGCTGCAAGGTACAAAAAAATCTGTACCTAGGATGAACAAATGACAACTATATTAACAAATTCAGTGGCCTCAGCTAATACATAGGATAGCCAAGAGAGTAAGAACTAGTGATAAGAGGAATTTTTAAGGAGTGTCCAGATAAAATTTTGCAAGAAGCTCCGCAACCTCTGTCCCTGATTATTGTCATTGTCCAACCAGCATATCATAAAACCACCAGGACTCAAGAAAGCAACTGATTTAATAGAAGCTGAGAATATTTGAAAGAATCCGTAACACATGAAGACTCCTATGGGAGCTTGGTTACTAACTGGTGTTTGGGCTCCACAGGGGACGTTCTTCCGATTACCCAAACTGACATTCCCTTTATAATGGTAATCAGAAAACTACCCACAGGGTTGCTGGGAATTATGGGATTTTGCAGAGGAGGAACCCCTGCTTACACTGCAAAGCATATGAGTTTATAACTGCTAGTCAGATAACTTATGAGAACAGACAATTATACTGAGGAGTCAATATGCAGAAATATAGAGAAGACATGGTTGATGTTTTATCAGTTATAGCCTATGACACGAAAGATATAGCTTAAAAACAGAGGTAAAAGTGTGCTTACACAGAAACAAAAACCTAGTTTAACTTCAAAAGAAGCTGCATCCCTTCTTCTAAATAACACGCAAGTTCCAGCACTTGTAAAATACACATACATTATGCAAAGCGCACACTTTTCTACACAAAATTTCAGCCTCAGCACTTGCAGGTTTTATTTACTCCCCTAAAATACTTCAAATGTTTAGCTTGATAATTCCTTTAGAAATCACAAAACGCCTCTGTTTATACAGAGCAAAAACTAGACAATAAGAAACAAGCTACACACTTTTGCTTTAGATAAACATTCTAAGGACACACTAAACATACTGGAATCAAGAATATAAAAGAACAGGAAAGGGAATGTAAACGAAGGCATCAGTCCTCATAAATGCCAGTTAAAGTCAAGAGAAAGAAGAATGAAAATCTTAATATGTGTTTCAGCTTCTACTGCAATGTCAAAAACAAAGGCATTGTCTCGTGACAATCTCACTTCCATTTCCTTATTTTGTAGCTCGGGGCAGTGTAAGTCCTTTACATGTTCAGGTTGTGGCTTTGGTGAAGCTTGACTATCTTTCACGTATCATGACGAAAAGTTTTAAACGGCACACTTTTGGTCTATATGGACTTTCTCTATTTTCTAATATATAAAATATTATGTATCAGATCGTATGCAAAAAGCCCCAAAGATTTGGGAATCTTGCATATGGCTGGGGAGGAAATAATTTATTTGAGATCTTAATTTCTCATAAGATTACTGTAATAATGTGTTATTGGGGGAGTTAAAGCTCAACTTGATTGAATTTTTGTATTGTGTCACAAGTATTCATGTAACTTTTTAGGCTATGAAATTAATATTGCTTTTCAAAGCAATTAACTACAGCTTTGTTACATTACTTGAATATTTCTACACGTGTATTCACTATTTATTTGTTTTTACGTTCTCTTTTCAGGGGGAATCATTTGCTAGTTACTGTTACATTTCACTTAGAACGGCTAATTGTTATCAAATTAAGAAATAAACGGGCCCTTTTAAATCAACGTCAAGTCTTTTCTAACATAAAGCAATTTTCTACAGAACAAGTCTTGTGTCGGAGGCTCCACCACGATGTCGTTTTAAAAACACTGCAACGGGAAATTACCGAAAAGCATTCACAAGAAAAGAGAATGTAAGTCTCAACACCATACAGCAAAAGAGAGACATCAGATCACAGTAAACATCAGATAAAGCCCCATCGGTAGGGACTTAGAAGCAAAGCAATTCGAAGGAAACTCATAAGCTATTCAGTCTGTAAAGGTCTATCTTTTTTCACCAAGCTAAGTGTTGCATTTTATAAAGAGCTAACAACTGCAAGAGGTAAATAACGTACAGAAAAACTTCAAAATAAATTTCCGACATAGATGCTCTTTTCAAAAACAACTTTCAAGCCAAGCAGAGACATTCTTTCCACTTTCTGCTTGTATGCTCTCTTCTCATACTAACATGCTGTACACTAGAAAATAGAAATTAATTGCTTAAAATTCCACTGTACTCGCAAAATTGAAACAGAACACCAATTTGCAGAGTAATAAATGCTGTTTACACAATGCGTTTTGTTGCCAGTTTAAATAGTTTTTAATAATATCAACAAAACTCCAGGCAATCAAGGCGATCGTGGAATTAAATATTAAATGTCCCAATGCCTGTTCATGCTTCAGCGAATTAAGAATTATAAATCTAACTCCCCGAAACGATAAACGATTTCTTAGCAATTAATATCTTATAAAATGCAACAAGCTACCGGACCACGACTGAAATATTCACAGTAATTATTAATATCATATTCAAAAACATGCACACATCAGAAAGTGCAGCCGCATTATGAAGACTTGCAAAAATTAGCAGTTACCCACCAAAAAGTTTCCAGCAACGCACTAGTCAATTTCAGAAAAAACCCCGGTAACATTCCATCCTCTGTCCGGCAAAAACCTACCGTGGAAATCCCCACAGCACCTTCCACTGTTTTTTTTATTTCGATCTGTAGTTTTATTATTTTTTACAATTTTTAAAATATTTTTTCTTTTTTCGGGGCCTGACTGGGTCTCGCTCTCGTCTGGCTGCAGCAGCAGAGTTATGGGGCGCGAGCATTGTGGGAGTGTGACGTCAGGGCACTTTCACAAACTTTTTTACATTGGTTGGCAAACTTGTTTTTTTTTTTTACTGTTGTCGTTGACATTATAAAAAATTATAAGAAGCTATGTGTTTGCTTGTTTGCGTATCAAAGTTTCACAAGTGAAATAACAAAGACAGAAATTTGGACCTTTTATAAACGAGAATATGGAAAACTCAAATTTATAACGTATAATGTCAAATTATCGAAAGGGCATAGTTGTTTTAATTGATCTTACAAACGCTGTCTTCTTAGTTTTCACTAGAATAGATACTTTTTAATTTATTTAAATTATTAATGAATAACTTTTTTCATTTTTTTCTCTTACTGCCAGAATGAATTCTGCTACGCCGGCATGGGTATTTTTTTATTATAATTTTTTAAAATAATATGCGATTAAGGTAAACAAGTCGTTAAATAAATAAGATTGTTCCGCGCGTGTTAGGCCTGTTTCAAAGAATGTGATATGTGCAATTAGGTGATTGTTAATTTCATAACAAAATTCCACTTTTAGATTATGCTTCCTATGAATCCTTTAAGAATAAAAATATTCCTCATTTTCACCATATTTTACTCACCAATATGCAAGGGGGAAAAACCGCCAAGCAGGTGTTTAGCAGTTTTTTTTCTTAAATATTGTTTGGCATTTCGTTTTTAAAATTTTTATTTCCCAAAATATTGTATAGGATATAGACATGGACTTATTGACATATGATAAATTAATTTGATTATTTATGTTTTGACAAGTACATTTTCAATGATCCCTAGAAACTCTTGTGCTTTGTGATATTTGAGTTATATAAATTGTTTCGTTAGGCTTAATTAAGTAATGTAAATAAATATTGACTATATAAGATAAATAAAAAACAATCGCTTTGATAATCACGAGTGATCGTAAGGTACGGTACAAACTGTTGTTTAAGTATAACTAGATTACATAACCAATTCAAAGAGATAAGCTGGGAATAGACTTTAATAGATTCGGCAAGATAATATGAAAACACTGAACAAGACTGCAGTGGAACCCACGTGAGAAGTCCTGGTCGTCGTCAATACACCTCGTATTTTGGGGCTAAAGAATTACTTCCAGGGCATATCAGCCCGTTTCCTCGCTACCCCTCAACCCCCCTTAACCTCTGCACAATCACTCATCTGGCGGATGGATGTAAAAGCATGTGTGTACTTCTGTTTGTCTCTGCCTGAGAAGCCGTGGGGGGGTTGGGGTCTTCTATGTCCTTTGGCCAATTCAAATGTTTTGATCTTTGTATAATCAGAGGAGGAACTAAAACGAAATGCTGTGAAATGAAGTGTGCTATTCCGCCCGAGTAACATTATTTTTTGCTTTTTTTTCTTTTATTTATACCTTTTAGTAACAAAACATTTGTGTTTACGGTTTAAACCTATTGAGAAACTTGTCAGAATTAATTTCTTTTAGTATTCTATTGTTTAGGGCATGAGAAAAAGAGATGTGCAAGGATAACATTTTATCTGGCTACCTAAAATGCACAGTCGATCATGTGCATCCTTGGAATATATGTAATTTAATCGAAATGTTTCGAAAACGTTACTGTTAGAATTACACATACATTAAAAATTTCCAAACTAAACAGAATATTGATCACTTTTTGAGTATATAACGATATTACTCTCAATAGTTCTATATCATGCATCTAAAGTTAAATAGAAAACACAGACCACATCAAATCATTTTTATTAGAAAACGTTAAATAATGGCTGACTTTTTTCAACTTAAAAATTCTGGAGATATTTGTTTTTATATGAAAATAAAATGTGTAGTGTGCTGGTTTGGTTACTCTGCTTTAAGTACGACATTTAGCATGTAAACATAAATACATAAACAAACCACAATTTAAATATCAGAAAACATCTGGGTAGAATTTGTGTATAGCGGGCTCTGTACTATTGTCTCAATCCACTCAGTGCTCCTGAATTTTGTTCACATGTTTACATTTGATTGTGAAATAGTAATGTCTTCAAAATAGCAGACATGTCAGATTGCCTCTGAGAGTAAATTTAGTCAGGATTGGTTTGTAAGTTTAAAATTAGTCAGTATGAAAGTATGAAGAACCATCCCTGTACTGCAGAAATGGGTCTGAAATTAATTAGGACCCATAACACGTGTCCATTTAGGGCTCAACTTAGAGTTTTTCCATTTCCACTGTAATATATTTTATATTAAAATAATTTAACGTTAGCAACTGCAATGTTAATGGAGAGTAATGAAAAGTAACATTTCCTATCAAAAAAGTACAATTGGACCATCTGTCCAGGTGTGGCATTTCCACCCCATCTTCCATTATAGGTGAGTATTGGCAATTTATTTGCAGCTTATTTTATAGAATCCCATGCTATATATATATTTGTCATTATTGAGATAAAAACTCAAGAAAGAAATTTCTATCATATTCTGCTCAGATGATTAGTCTCCTGCCTTGGTCACCAGTCCACTTCAGGGATGCCAGCATGACCACCAGAATGTGCTGGATGAGACATATGCTTTCCAGTAGCTGTGGGGCAAGCGAGGCCCCATTACCTACTTGTTGTGTGCTGTTGATGTTGAGAGTTTTTTTTATTGATATGAACCTTCTGCTTTGTGAAATTTAACTTGTTTTTCCATGTTCTGGAGCACAACCTTCTCATAATTAAATTTGATTAAGCTGGGAAACCCTTAAAAGTGATGACAAAGAGAAATAAGAAAACTGATAATGTTAACAGACTGGAGGCAGTTAAACATCTGCAACAATTTATGTGTTAGTGGATGAAAATCTAATCTATGTTTTTGGTACTATGTCAGTTTACCTCTTCTTTACACTTTCCACACATTTCTAACTGCTTCTCCTAAAAAAAGAATAAGGCACATTAAAATGCCACCATGTAGAACAATGGCAGTTAGTTTGAGGATATTTATACACATCTGGTCTTTATTTTCTCATGAGCAGAAAAGTTAGGAGACGGGGACCCTTTCTTTGACACACAAAGCTGCCCACTGAGTTTGATGGGCTTAATAACAGATGGGTGCTTTAAAGTTTACCAGAGCTGGCAAAAAACATCTCTTGCATAGAGACAATCACTCAAATTCCAATCAGATTAACAGCAACTAGTGCAAGTGCACCTTTTTGCACCATGACTTTACATTTCATACTATATTTTAGTGAAAATAGCAAAATAAGACACAAGAAGATCCATTAGTAGTAAGTATAGTATTTTTGACAGTCCTTATTTATGTACTGTAGATGCATTTTTTAAATCCTTTGTTCTGCTTTCAATTTGCTGTAGAATTTTTTTTTTTGTGAAACATGTTAATGAATACACCATGTAAGTAAATATAAAGATAGTTATATTAAATTTGTCCTCCCTGCCACGCTACTGTATTTCCTGTTCAATGGGGATTTTTGGTAAAATATATAGGAACAGGATTTAGAAAAAAATGAGAGACAAATGAAGAATAGAGAATATTTCAAGAATGGAAGTGGACCGATAAAAGTGTGTGAAAATAAGAAAACTAAATTTGGAAGATGGGAGGAGAGGCAGAGCCAGTAGAGGAGTATCATGTGTGGGGCATTCAGGGGTGGGTGTCTGCTGTCAGATGATAAGGTGGTGGGTGTACCTGATGGTGTCCCGCAGAACATAGATCATCACCACTCACTCCTCACTACTACCAGAAAGAATTCTGTTACCCAGCATTAATTAGTAGAAAATAATGATAAATGATTGGCTGTTTTATAGCAGCTCAGTATTTTCTATCACTTTTGTATTGCTATTTTTGGTCCTATTGATTTTTTTTTTGTACAAGCTAAATATGGAAACAAATGAATCCTTGCTGTATATGTGGAAAATTGGTGATTGCCACACATATGTGACTAGAATGGGAAAAAGGCAGATGTCTTCATGGTATGGTATGAGCCAGTAGGGCTTGATGGTTTGAAACGGGGTCTTGGTGCTGACGTGTTTTGTGATGGGCTGCAGGCTGCACACGGAGTAAATTAGCAATATTTCATTAGGGGAGCATGTCAGCCTGAAGAATGAAAGGAAAGACATTGTCATCAAAGTGCTAAAGTATGCACAATTAACTCAAGCAGCTGCCCAGACTGTGAGGTCACAAAGAGGTAGGCAAAATGGACTATCTGCTAAGTATAATATAGATCACGGGAGCACTTTGCATGCTGGGTAACATTGCTGGGTGCTCAGCACATATTTAAAGACTTATTACTTTGATTGAGTCAAATATGGGTATTAACTTCGGACATTTCAGCATAAGTGTTTTCTACATGAAAACAGTACACGAACATCCCTGTCTGAGCAAAACATGCCACCTTCACACACAAATTCATGTAACCACTAATTGCTATTCTATAAATGATCAGTGGAGGCATGTTATTCGCTATAGGGATTACTTATCCATGGGTATGGTGAGAGACCAATTGAGAGCTGAGCTACATGCCAAAAAGTTATGGTGGACTGTTAATAGTGTTCAACTTATTGGTCCCATTGGCATGGATTGGGTTCATTCATCACTTTAGAAACAAGAATGAATGCAGGCAAGCCTATAACATGGATAATACAGTCTTCCGTCATTAAGCAGGTGCACCAGCCACACTCTCTTCTCTTACTGGTAAAAGACACTTTTACTTCCATGTTTATTAGTCAATATAATCTCTGATTCAGGAGTACAAAGACAGAACTTTTAGACAGAACAGGTGCCTGGAAACGCACTGAATGGCAGGGATTGCCCTGGAGTCGACATGCTGTTTTCTCCCACAAGCAGTGGTAGGACGAGCCAACTGACTAAACAACCTGCTAGCAATTGCCCAGGAACCAACAGACCTCAACCCAAAATGAATTAATGCACTTCATGAAGAATGCCTCATGTGGTAGCAGCAGAACTAACTCCGGTCTCAATGAGGGAGAGTCAGAGAGGAAAATACCCTGTGATGTCTGTCTGTGTGTGTCCGTGTCTTTATGCCTACATGTGTTTGACTGCCTTAACTCCTGTGGAAGGTAGTGTACTCCTATAGGGTGATATATGTTTTCTGAAGCCTGTTTGCAATTATTGCTGAGATTTAGCAAGGTTCCCATAAAATGCAGATTGTGTACTAACTTCTGCCTTTATCTTTAGTGTCAGTTGGGTTTGCTGCAGTCAAACTGTAACACATGGATTGTAACTACTGCTAATTAAGTAATTAGATAATTACCAACTTGGAAAGCACTCCTCAGAAACACCTGCAAAATGCACACAATATATATTTTTACATTTCCCAAAGTCCCCTTTTCTATTATTACCCTGTTTCACAGACAGACACCAAGATAGAATCCTACTGGGAATTTTTTTTTACATCAATTTCATACTTAATTTCTGTGTTATTTAGACATGAATTTTGAATTTCATTTCATAAACCAGTTTAATTGCACTGCATTGAAGAATACGAATAGGTATAAGAACGAGAAAAGTTTTGGAATTAAAAACTTGTGTTAAAAAGAATGCAGGGGTGAAAACTAAGATCATTGTAATTATATTGCTCTTTGTCTTTTTATGAAGCCAATAATGTTAATTATTATTGTTATTACTATTATTATCATTTTCACAAAGTATCAAAAACAACTTCCTTCAGCTTCCTTTATTCAACCTCAGTGCCCGGTGAACGTGTTATGTCAAATCTCTGCCTTATGAACATGGTGTCCTTGTGCAGATGCAATGTCTGTCTAGCCCCTAAAACAACATACATCACAGCAAAGGGACCAAGTTTTACAGTGGTGTGTGGAGGGGACCAGTTATAGATTATTAACATGCTAAAAGAAACTCCATGTTTGAAAACTTTTCTTGCACATGCTGTATTAATATCAATTAAACATCTCAGCATTGAAGGATATACAGCACATGTACACTAAGCATTACTACAGTAAAATGTTTTAATTACATTTTGTTGCATACATTTATTGTGTAACTATGGATGCATGTTCTTTCTATATGAGGCTATTTAGAATAACTTTTCTTATCCAAAATGCAATAAATGACACACATTAATACACATTATTCTTAGAAAATGCAACTTAGACAATGAAATTATGACTTTATAGAAATTTCTTTATAAATAACTATAAAAATGGCCAAACAAATTTCCAGAAACTCACGACTTCATATATACATGTATTTTCGGTGTAATTCAATGTGTAGACATCTTACAAAGGTTTTTCTCAGACACACCTTTACAAATACACATATATGCAAATAATAGGTTGCCTTTAAAGTGCTACAGCAGCGCTTAATCACGGAATACGAGCGATCCAATTCGTTAAGGTTTAACTATATACATCACAAATCAGAACATACAAAATACTAAGCCACGGGAAGAAACTGAAATGAACAATTATTGTAAATTGCAGACAATACTAACAGGTAACATGTTCACAGGTAACATGTAGATGGAGTGTATACATGTGTAGATTCGTTGATAGCTACAAAACAAAATAATCAATTATCCAGTTTGGACAGATTTGACGAAAAAAAAGTCATGGTTTGAAAATGTGTTTTTAGAAGATAATACTATTTTGTTCAATCTACCTGATGTAAGATGCTCGTTCGTCAGGACAACCAACTAATTAAAAACAAATGAAGTGCATTAGGTTTCATATCAAGAAATACAACTGAAAGAAATTGATTGCTTGTGTGGTACGGTACATGTGGTTGTACCAAAATACATGAAATAACATTTTGTTCGTCAAAATTATATATTAGTGATTTATCGAAGATGGAAAAAAAACTAATTTCCGCTGGCCGAAATTGGCATATTTCATGAACCAGAAGTTGAAGAATCGACACTGCGGGCGAAATGCATTGTGGGTTGAGGCACGAGCGCTTATCTTACGCACGTCCTTTATTAAAAGCTTGAACGCTGCCGCAAAGGGGAGTAACACATGTGGCAAAATGGCGGCTCATATTCTAGTGAATGAAAGTAGACTTACGTAGCTGCATTTCTGCAGAGTAAGGCTTTTTGCTATAGTAAAGATAAATTCTCGAAAATCCTTAGTTTGGTTATAGGCGCAGTCTCTCCAGTCGTTTTTGTTTTGTCATGAATAGTAATTACCTTATAATTTGTATCCAGAATGTATACTTTTTAGTAAACTATATGTCAGGGGTAAGTACCGTGGCGAATTATCACTGACATTTTTATCAAAATACATTTTTAAGCACGTATATTGTATTTAAAAACATAGCCTAAATATATACATTTTTTCTCAACCAAAACATTTTGCCACGGACACGCTTGTCCCTGTACGGACTGGTTGACGATCCCCGCTTCCAGCTACCTTGAAAAAGTATAATTATACAACACAAATCCTATCTGAACTCGTTTTTGCTTCATTGGATATTAAAGCATTTCTTAAAAAAAAAAAAAAAGCTCCATTGCGATTAATTTTTAGTGACATATACATGGATGCCCCAGCACCGCTTTAATGCTTTTATAATACTAGCATAAAAATAACATACTACAATCGCATAGAAACGCTCATACTTCCATTCTTTTCGCGCGTTTTAAAAGCCGCTAACACGCATGGCCGGTGACCTGGCGTTTACTCCGCGTACAGTTATAAGCTCCTCCCACATGTGACGTCTCCAGCGAGACGCCGGTTTTGAAAGCCGTCTGCTCCTGTAGATATGGCGGCCGTAGTGGGTGATTTAAGATGTTTCTTTATTAGGTTTATTGGGATAATCCTCCTATCTCTGTTGTTTTCTGACGCAACTGTGCCTGTGTGGGATGAGAATGGCTACGTACTCTACTGTCCGTGCATGGGTAATTTTATTTCGTTTACCTTGTATTGTTTTTGGATATAGTACGAAGTTCATTTCCACAGGCAGATTAACCAACCACTTTAAACCGTCCTAGTTTACTAACAACCGATTCTGCTGCACGTGTGGTATACCACCTGCCTAAGTTGAGTCCATGATCGCCTGTGTTTATGACAGTTTGATTAACTTTTTTTACACTGGTAATTACTTAATTCGTTTATTTTATTTCAGGTAGATTTGGCAATCAGGCAGACCATTTCTTGGGGTCGCTGGCATTTGCCAGAATGCTCAATCGGACGCTGGCAGTCCCGCCCTGGATCGTTTATCGGCACCACACGCCCCCTTACACCAATGTAAGCAGATTGATTGACATAGATGTATTTAGGATGTAATCACCAAAATGTTTTATCTGTATTAGCCTGCTGTACCTGGAACCAGAGTGATAATTAAGGCAATGTAATGTCACATTCAAAATGTATATCCCCTCATCCCCCAACCATACACTGGTAAAAAGATGCACGTCCCCTACGAAGAGTTTTTCCAGCTGGATACCCTGCATGAATACCATAGGGTGGTGAGTCTGGAGGACTTCATGGAGCATTTAGCACCTGCACACTGGCCTCCGGGCAAAAGGGTGGCTTATTGTTTTGAGGTGGCTGCCCAGCGCTCTGCTGACAAGAAGACCTGCCCCATGAAGGTAATTTATCACAGACACACAAACTTAACACCATAAACATAACATTTTGATCGACTTCTGAATTCCTAAGTTACTGCTTGCACACAACACTCTCATCAAGCTTGATTATAAATTGTTTGTTTACTGGAATGTTTTTCTTAAAGATTTAATTGAATGTTTTATGTCTAGCATTAACTGAAGAATCTATATGGTTTTTGTTTTCGATGAATGCCACATATTATCTTCTATTACCTACTAAAATGTGAATTGATTTGACACAGCCTACAGTCCATAGGGCTTCTGTTTTACTTCATAAGTGGTCCTTTACCATGAAATATACACTGTAAAATAAAGTTAGTATTATTTCATTCAGTTGTGTAAAGTCACTTGCATTTTAGCAGCATTTCCTCATGCTCAGAGTTGGTTATTTAAGTACAGTTCGTAATATGAAGTCAGCAGTTCTTTGTCTTTCAACAGTGTGTCATCGTATTTTTGCATTTTCGTGTTTCTTTTGAACATTATGTGCTGATTTTCTTCTTGGTGCTGCTATTGTTTCTTCCAGGATGGCAATCCGTTTGGTCCATTCTGGGACCACTTTGCAGTGGAGTTTGATAAGTCAATACTTTTTAGTAGTATATCCTTTGGATCCTACTATGAGACCCACTGGATGAAAAAGTAAGTGTTTAATGTAATATTGTCATAAAAAAAAAAAACCGTTTTTTGAAAATGCAGGCTATAGCATATTAAATTTCTGACATGTTCACGCAAAAGCCTTACACTGAGTCATTCTTTCAAATAGATTAATTGTACAGATATTCCCAGGTTATCAATAGGTTTTGTTCAATAGGTATATCTTTAAGTCAAATTTGTAGGTTGGGCAAAAAAAATATTATTCAGTAATAATAAAATTCACTACATATAGTTCTGTACTGTACGTTGAGCTGACGAATGGCTGAAGCCACACAATGTTTTCATGAGTCACACAGTAGTGTGTTTGTTTATTATTACAAGTCATTGTATTTAATCCAAACTTTAATATTATAGGCTTTATGACAGCCCATTTGTAAGTAAGAGTTGTCCATAAGTCTGGCGTTCTTAACCCGACCTGTATATATATTTTTGACTTATGTATTAGGTTTGAATATTTAAGAGACTAAAAGGACCAGTGATGGTTGTATAGGGACTATGGGGGAAATTACCTTAATTTGCTCTAGAAATTGTGGGGCTTAACTTTAACTGTATTAACTTTCATATTGTTGATGTTACAGCAGACCTGTTGCATACCTCTTGTGCCTGTAGATTCCCTCCTTCTGAGCATCCTGTCATGGCTCTCCCTGGAGCTCCAGCCCAGTTTCCGGTTCAGGAGGAGCATTTAGGTTTGCAGCGTTATATGGTGTGGTCAGATAAGATGGTACAGGTGGGAGAGGGGCACATCAAGGCCCTGCTCAGTCGACCATACGTCGGCATTCACCTGAGGATTGGATCAGACTGGGTGAGATGATTGTGGTGCAGTCATTCAGCGCATTTATTACATTACGTATTGTTTTAATATGAAGAAATCACTTCGTGAGAATGTTCAGTTATTTAGCATTCATGTATATTGGATTTTTAATAGTAGCTTTACTTTTTATTAATCTAAATTTGCTATGTTTTTGTTGTACTCTGGTTAAGAACAACATGGCATTTAAAATCTCGCAATGCCTAAAAAACTGCTGTTCCTCTCCTTTCAGCAAAATGCCTGTAAGCTTCTGGAAAATAAGGACACAGGGCCCCATTTTATGGCGTCCCCGCAGTGCGTGGGGTACAGTCGTCACACGGCTCGACCTCTGACCATGACAATGTGCCTACCCGACCTGGTGGAGATTAGCCGTGCCCTCAGGCTGTGGGTTAAGAAGATAGGTGCCCGCTCTGTCTACATTGCAACTGACTCGGAGTCCTATAAGACTGAGATCCATAAGCTCTTTAAGGGAAAGGTAAGTCTTCATGAATGACAAACCTCCTAAACACTGATGTGCAATAGGATCCACGGATCAGTCATTTTTCATTCTGCTATTTGCACCTCTTGGATATCTTACACTGTTCCACAAATACTGCATATATTTCTGGTTTCATACTTTTTCCTTGTCTTTTTTCTATATTCATGTCCTTTATTGTGTATACATATTGGCTGGAATGCTGCCACATGATATTTCACTTATGAATTGAATTGAAAATGCTTGGTAAATTCCAAATCATTTCCTGGAGCTGGAATTGAAATAGGGATTGCTCCTTGCTGTAGGGAAACATAATTGCAACTGAAGTGGATTGATAGGAAATCGAATTGAATTTCACTTAATATCAAGAAATATGAATTCTAATAGGTTTTCTTGATTTGCTGAATATTATTATTATTATTATTATTATTATTATTATTATTATTATTATACTAAGTACTTCAGAAGAGCGCAAGCTTCCAAAGTCACATCCACAACCACACTGCTACCAGCATCAGGGGAAGTTATCTGAACCTACCATGTCATGGATAGGAATATGATTCTCTTCAGTACCGGAAACCAGCTCCATTACGTGGCCAAACTTGTATTCCAGTACCTAGCTGTTCAGCAAGAAAATTAGACCTGACCGATTTGTAATCCTAACGATTTAAATTTTGAACTGGTCATGATTGTTCAATGCAATAAAAAGTGATAATTAATAAAAGGACATCAGTATGAATCAATAGAAAGTTTTGAGACATTGTATTAGAGAAGCAAGTAACGCAGCACACATTTTTCCACTACACCTAGTAACTTGCATGTCTTTATACTGTATATGTAACTAATCAAAATATTTACGGGATGAAATAATTTAGTTAATGTTAAGGAAAATGCATTAGTATTGCAAAACTTTTTAAATTAATATATTGAAATAGTTTTTAAAAACAGATTTGTTTGGATCTGAAAATTTCTTCCCTTTTCCTATTTTCCTACAGGTGAAGGTTGTCAACCTGCAGCCAGAAACGGCACAAATTGACCTGTATATTCTGGGACAGGCAGATCACTTCATTGGGAACTGTGTGTCTTCCTTCTCTGCTTTCGTAAAGAGGGACCGAGATATCCATGGACGTGCCTCATCTTTCTTTGGCTTGGACAAGCCTGGAAAGAGGGATGAGCTTTAATAATATTAAGTAGTATTCAGGTGTAAACCCTTATTTACTTCATTTCATTAGTCTGAAATATTTGTCTGAAATGGCTATGAATGGTTTTTACCCATAGAAATGAGACTTGGTAGGCCAGCAAAAAGGAATAATTAATAATGGAAATGGCTACTTTTTAGTATCTCTTTAATATACGTATGTTGAATTGGGTAATGTAGAATTGAGATACACTGAGTTTCCAAAATGTATATTTTTATATGCACTACAGTATTAAGCTATAGAATGCCAGTATGATACTGATTCGTTTATTTGGTCCAGCAGGCCTTTCATGGTGCTGGAGCATTTCCAGTTTCCCAAACAGAATTTTGCTTCAATAGTTGAATTTGAATCCCAGTCAAGAGAGGAAGAACCTGGGTCAATTCATTAAGTGCAGTCATTCTCTGTGGCTACAAAAAGTACATCCCTTTCAGAGAGCACATTATAAAAGGGAAAACAGGGGGGCGCAGAACTTTTTTTTCTTCTCAGCTGGATTTTTCATCATGTGAGCATGGGCACATATAGGTGGTGGTAACTGATCCTGGGGATGCTAATTATAGGGAGGTCATTATAGTGTTACCTCCTTGTATATCTTTCTGTTGCACACCGATTTGTGTGTCTAAATTTGCCAGCTATTTTCCAAAGACCCTCTTGAACTCACTCTGTACTTGTTTCCCTTAATGTCAGGCATGGGCAGAGTAAATGTGAGTTGAGAAGACACTGAATAGATTTTTGTTTGTTTGTGAAGTCTTGTTTTACAATATTGACTGCTTCCTTTAAGTAAGATGTTTTCAGAATGCTGTATAGTTGTGTTAGCAGTGTATTATCATTTCATCTGCATTATTTTAAACATGGAGTAATCATGAGGGTTTTCCCTGTCTTTATTGTAACTTAAAAATACCTACACTATGAAGACCTATGACCTGGAAGTGCAAACATTCTTTTTCCATTCCATATAATAACGTCCAGTATATACTGTTATGTGTCCGTTCAATTACCATGTGCTGCAGGTGAAATTTGAAGGGTGGCCAGATTTTGTTCAGTTGTAAACACCAACTAATTTAAATGCCTTTGGAACCATTTGCGCATGTGAATTATTTCTCCAAATCATCTTGCACTTTGTAATGTATACAGCTGTGTATCGTCTGCATTGACTTTTGTAACACGATACATGGAAATTGTAGAAATGACTTCACATTTTGGATTCTAGCAAAGTATGCTAGTATTACATCGAAAGACTGCAATACTAAAAAGTATAACTATGAAATATTGCAAGACCAATTTATTTGTTGAAATTATGTCTTTGTTTTGTATGTTTTGGGATTTATCGCAATATGACTACCGTTTTGAGTACCGAAAGTACTCAAATGTAGTCACTGCTATTTTTAAAACTTGCAAATGGATGTCTTTGGACAGATTTTGATAATACTGTATTTCAGATAATATGGTTTTTGTAAAATAAAACTTTCTTGTTCCGACTGAATGAATCCTTCAGGCTTGGAAGGGTGGGAGGATGTTTTCTCTCATCCCAGCTTTTCCGGTTGGAGGTGCAGAAGCGCGATCCCGCTCCTTCCGGGAAACCGCAGGACATGCAGGCAGGGCTGCAGTAATGGCTGATCTCGTCGCTGTGCGGAGCTCCAGGTAGTAGGCGAATGAGGAGCTGTGTCATTTGCGCGGCGTCTGCGTTCTCTGTAGGTGGAAAGCACGACTTGCTGGGTTTACTAGGGTGATGCCGTGATTTTGTGGGCGCGAGGGACCGTGCTGCAGCTCGCCCTCCTTCGCACGAGAATGTTTTGCCGTTGCTAGGCCGCTCATGCTCGGTTGCCGTGGAGGCGACCCTTTAGTCTCATTCAGCACAAAGCTGGCGAGGTGGCTAGCGCTCTCGTCGGCGTTATTTTTATGTTTATATACATATATAATTCGATGTGTTTAGACAATAAAGAGTACTGCTTGTTTAGTGGGATGGTTTGCGATACTATTTAGCCCTTGACAAAACGCTCGGCAGTTAGCAGTTTGATACTGGTAGATTTTGTTCAGGTTATTATCAGCAAAACGTGTTTATGCGTTGGTTAGGTTAAATCAATTTCATTGTGTAAACTAATTCCTGACCGCTGACATTCTGAAGTAGCGTTTGCACAAGATAATACGGGTCCCGATTGTTAGATGGAAGGATAAGCTGGCTAATTAGCATTAGCTAACGAAAACGAATTAATTTTGCTTGCCTCACTAGTGGCGGTCATAGACGTCATCGCCTATGAATTTGTATAATATTACTAATGAAATCGATTAATTCAACTTGAGGACCGTCAAAACCAGATCTTCGTGATTTATGAAATGCTTTCTGAAGGAAGTGGCGATTTCCTGTGAAACATTCGTCTATTTTATGACCGGGATTCCCAAGGTCTAATGTCTTTAATAAGGCAGAGGAAAAACCCTGGAAATTAGTATTTTGAAGCTGTCGGGTCTATAGGGCGAAATGGTTTAAGGCTGGAGGAGCGAGCTGGCCGTCGGTCAGTTTTATACATATTCAGTGGTTTCGCCCTGACAATGCATTTCATTTTATTAGTTTGGCTGTGGCATTTTTTTTTCCAGAATCTAATGTCAGAATTGAGAATCCATGCTTTACGTGTAAATAAATAGCGATTAAGCATTTTCTTTGTGAAAGGTTACAGAATATTGTAATATGTTATTGATGTTGGAGTAATTTCGTTATCTCGTACGAAATATATAAGCTATATTTCGCTTGGGTAAACAGGACTGATTTTTGCAGAAATATACGTGAAATGATATTAAAGTATTTTATTATGTAAATGCCATCAAAAACACCAAACTCAGCCTCCCTTGCTCAGATGTTTTTTTAATTGAGTGATCTCTTCCTGCAGGTGTTGATGCTTGTGCAGTCAGTGCTGTGAAAGAACGTTGTAAGCAACAAATGAATTAAGGGGTTAAGAAACGCCCAAAATGTCCAAAAGTAAGAACTCGGAGTCTGTGAAGGTGGTGGTGCGATGCCGACCAATGAATGAAAAGGAGAAGGCAGCCAACTTTGAGAGGGTTGTGTCAATTGATGTGAAATTGGGGCAGGTATCTGTGAAGAACCCAAGGGGCACTGCCCAAGAACACCCGAAGGTATTCACCTTTGATTCGGTCTATGACTGGAACTCTAAGCAAGTGGAGCTGTATGATGAGACGTTCAGGTCGCTTGTGGAATCTGTCTTGCTGGGATTTAATGGCACAATTTTTGCCTATGGCCAAACAGGCACTGGGAAAACATACACAATGGAAGGGGTGCGTAATGATCCAGAGCGGAGAGGTGTCATTCCAAACTCTTTTGAGCATATTTTCACACATATATCACGGTCACAAAACCAGCAATATTTAGTACGGGCTTCTTACCTGGAAATCTACCAAGAGGAGATTAGAGACCTTCTGTCGAAAGACCAGACTAGGCGCCTAGAATTAAAGGAGCGTCCAGACACAGGAGTTTATGTCAAAGATCTGTCTTCCTTTGTTACAAAGAGTGTCAAAGAGATAGAGCATGTAATGAATGTGGGAAACCAAAACCGGTCAGTTGGGGCCACAAACATGAACGAGCATAGCTCCCGTTCTCATGCCATTTTTGTCATCACCATCGAATGCAGCGAGATCGGCCTGGATGGGGAGAACCACATCCGTGTCGGCAAGTTGAACCTTGTGGACCTGGCAGGCAGCGAAAGGCAGACCAAGACAGGGGCTCAGGGGGAGCGGCTGAAGGAAGCGACCAAGATAAATCTTTCTCTTTCTGCACTGGGAAATGTTATATCTGCACTGGTGGATGGCAAGAGCACCCACATTCCATACCGTGATTCGAAGCTGACACGACTTCTGCAGGATTCACTGGGGGGGAATGCCAAGACTGTGATGGTGGCCAATATTGGTCCGGCCTCTTATAATGTGGAGGAGACCCTGACTACCCTGCGATACTCTAACCGTGCAAAGAACATAAAGAACAAGCCCCGTGTAAACGAGGACCCGAAGGATGCACTTTTGCGGGAGTTCCAGGAGGAGATTGCCCGTCTCAAAGAGCAGCTGCAGAAGCGTTCTGGCAAGAGGAAGAAGAGGAGGAGGAGGAAGAGGTTCGGGGAAGGTGGGGAGGAACTGGAGGAAGAGGAGGAATATGATGATGAGGATGATGACGGAGCTGATGGGGCTGATGGGGAAGAGAAGGAGGATGCTGACTACTGGCTGGAACAGCAAGAGAAGCTTGAGAAGGAGCAGAAAGCCATCATGGAGGACCATAGTCTGGTGGCAGAAGAGAAGCTGAAATTGCTCCGGGAAAAAGAGAAGAAAATGGAAGACCTCAGGAGAGAGCAAGAAGCTGCAGAACTGCTGGCAGCTAAAGTGAAGGTAAACAATTTTTTTCAGTGGCGCACATATTCTCAGCATGTTTTTAATGTGTGTATGACATCATTTAATGTTATTTTCCCCCCATTTGTTCTTGTATAAGGCTATGGAGAGCAAGCTTCTGGTTGGAGGGAAAAATATTGTAGACCACACCAATGAGCAGCAGAAAATACTGGAGCAGAAACGACAGGAAATTGCTGAACAGGTAAAATTGGGTGGCTGTTTGTATCCTTACCTGTCTTAAGTGCAAGGTCCAAATGAAACACTTTACAGTTTGATGGGTTCTTTAAAATGATGTTTAGCAGTCTTTTGTGTGGACTGTTGTAATATGAATTACAATTCACTTCCAGTAGGAAGGAAAACATGTCATGCTTGCTTGTTAATTATCTATCACATTTGTCACTTGACAATATTTTCATTACACAGATGTATACTGTATGTATGTGTGTATGACAGATAAAACTTGAAACTTTTTTCCCCATCTGTCTTCACCCCATTGCTGTAATATTTCTATTGCCAATGCCTACTTGTCAGTGTGGGTCTTTGTACACCCGTGGTGTGTTTTCAGAAACGCAGGGAGCGAGAGATACAGCAGCAGGTGGAATGTCGGGATGAGGAGACGCTGGAGCTCAAAGAGACGTATAGCTCCCTCCAGCAAGAAGTGGACATCAAAACCAAAAAGCTAAAAAAGGTCAGTATGAGTCCACACCAGGTCATGTTCCTACTTCCTTTCATTTTGAGTTGTAGCATCACAGTCAGTATTAGAAAACATTTTAGGAATTATGTTTCTGTGGTTGTCATGATTATTAAGTCATTGGCATAAAATTGTCTTTTATCAGCTGTTTGCGAAGCTGCAGGCCGTGAAGTCAGAGATCCAGGATGCCCAGGAGGCGCACATCAAGGAGCGACAGGAACTGGAACAGACACAGAATGAGCTCACCCGGGAACTAAAGCTCAAGTAGGGAACTGTAACTCCTTTCATTTCATCGCCTTTCATACCATGACAAAATTTCAACATAACCCCTATGAAAGTGGCACAATTTTGAATCTAGCTCTTTTCCTCTCTACGTAGTCTCTACTTTCCACTCATCTTTTTGTAATTTGTGTGGTTCACAGGCACTTGATTATTGAGAACTTTATCCCTATGGAGGAGAAGAACAAAATAGTGAACCGAGCATTCTTGGATGATGAGGAAGACCAGTGGAAACTGAGGCCCATCACACGCATTCAGGAGTAAGCAACGCGTGCTGCTCTGTGTTTACTGCCGGTTACTTGGGAAGTTTGTGTTTTGCTCTTATCAAAATGTATATCTTAATGTGACAGAGGTGAGGATATGAGCTTGTGTGAGTCACCTTCAGTGGAGGCGCAGGAGAGCCCAGATTAAATGGATTAAGTCTTCAAAGACAAACTTAACATGCCAAGAGAATGATTCACTCCTGGAATAAAACCAATGCACAAGTCTGAAAGGAATTATTTTCTAGAATAGGCTTGGCTTTTGTGTGGACTCCGCTCATCTGCATTAGTGGAGGGAGGTCACAGAAACATATGTCGTTCGTCATCTGCAAGTTTTTTTTTTTTAATCGTTTCTTCATCTGCCTCCATCTGTCTTGTTGCCCCCTTTCCCAGTAACCAGCAGATGATGACTCGGCCTGTGTCAGCAGTGGGCTTTAGGCGACCACTCAGCCAGCATGCACGCAGGGCTATGATGATGCGACCAGACGTGAGATACAGGGTATGCCTGCTCTTCCATTTTGGTTTAATTGCCTTCCACCAGACTAGCTTGTGCACTGAACTTTGATTTGTAAAAGCCATGTGAGAAACCAGAAAGATGGCACTATGTTAGCAAATGGCTCATCTGGCAGCCCCTTTTCTGTAATGCATGACCATGTTTCTCAGGGCTGATTATTGATTTAAAGGGGATTTTGAATTAAAGGGAAACAGCAGCTCTTGTATTTTATAATGTACCTTACAGAAATTTAATGACCCCTTGCAACTGCTGTTTCAAACTGGTTATTTTTCACGTTTGTCGCTCATGTTGAAAAATGGTTTCAGAATTGTAACTTTAATCTTGCAGTGGTTCTTACAGGGGAGGGTAACTTGGCAAACTGCAGAGCAAAGTTGTATCGTTTTTCCTGTGTATGCCTTGTGGATCAATACTGTTTGCTTTAGTAAGTGTAATGCGTATTAGCTAATGGCCACAGAGGAAGCCTCATGAATGGCTTTGTGGTGTGGTTCTCTTTTGCTGTGTCTCCCCAACTGCTGCCTGATTTATCCATTATTCATTATGCTTTCCAATCCCAGCTTTATATATATATTTTTTTACCTGCTTGTTCTGGCAATGCCAGATATTATTACTGGTCGGCAAAGGATCCCAAATGTGGACAGAAAGCAAAATACAAAACACGTGTGAAGATGTTTGACATTTCAAACATGGGCTTGTTGTTAGCCACATAATGGTCGCAGCCAGTGGTGGATCTTGGCATGGAAAAGATGGCCAGTTGTCCAGGGTCCAGTCTAGTGCAGTGTTTCCCAATCTGGTCCTCAGTCAGTCCACATTTTGCTCCCTCCCAGCTCCAGTCTTTTTTCATGCACTGTAGTATTATCACTGTATGATCTGTATGATCACTTAAGACTTTTCCTATGCTGCAGGCTGAGAACATACTCCTGTTGGAACTGGACCTGCCCACACGTACCACTAAGGTGTACGAGGAGCCAGTCATTGCGCCCAAGGTGGCAGCAGCTCTGGAGGACGCCCTGCGGGATGAGGACGAGATCCAGGTTGACGCCTCCACGTTCCACAGCACCGACCTGCTGTGCAGCAGTGCTAGCAGCGTGAGGAAGCCAAAGTCCAGGTGAGCTGTTTGCTGGAATACTGCTTTGTTTTCTATTTCCTAATTTCAAAGTACATATGGTTAAAGTAGTAATGTAGTGTGTTGATTGGAGGAGTAAATATTACTGCCTACGTTCAAATAATCCTATGCAGATCACACTGGTTGGTCTCCAAAGTATTTGTTTATGTAAATTCGTGTCTGCAAGTTACAGTAATACTGTTTGCAATGGAGAATATTATCGATATCACAAAATATCATGTGCTGATAGTATCATGAGGTGTCCCTCTACCTGTACTTTAAACATGCCACTGAGTCTGTTTCTCTTTTGAAATGGTAGGGAGGTGAACTAAGGATCAATCAGAATAAAACCCTTTTCTCCCTCTCCCATTCAGCAGCCGTCCCAAGACTGGAAAAAAGGCGAGCACTCCCAGTTCTTCACAGATTCCCTCCAGCTCAGGACATCCCCTCTACCCACAATCTCGTGGACTCGTACCCAAATGATTACTTGGGTTTCTCTATTCTGGGGGCCCTCCGCTGTACAGAGAGACATGAACGGACTGGTACAACATCCCTGACTAAAACACAGGGCAAAAAACTCCCAATACGGGAAATTCAAATTCTGCTTTTTTCCTTTGGTACACTAGATTTCAAGGACCACAATGGAGGCAAACTGTACAGGACTGTCACTCTGAATTGTAGCCTCCCAAGTGTGTCTACTATGAATAGAAGGAGTTTTATGTCTCAAGTTTAAAGTTCTGACCTTAAATTGTCCTTGAAAATGACTACAGTACAGTGTGTCAGGATACACGCTTTCCCCGTTACTTGAATCAGTGCCACGGTGCACATTGTAATGTTTTCCTGCTTAAAAGGACTGCGTTTCCTTGACAAGGTTTGCATACATTCTGATGTTATAAAATGGCAGCACTGGTAACAGCTGCTGGCTGGGTCAAACTGCTTGTCCCTGGGCACTTTACAGTTTGACACATTAAAGAGGCACTTTAAAATATGTCAAGTGCACACATTGCATAGGTGTTTGAAGTTACAATGTTGGTGTATTTTGTGTAATATGTGATATAGCTTACATGCACAATCCCAGGCTGATTCTAATGCTACTCCAAAAGTTGATGAGAACTTGCTAGGGCAGTTCTGCTTTTACAATAATTTAGTGGGGCTAAAAGCAAATTCAGCAGTCCAGAATTAGGATTGATTTTCAGACGTTTATTTATACACACTTGAGCAAACGATTCCTTTGCTTAAATTTTTCCTTGAAGTTCAGGTGAAAGGACCAAGGGTTTCTCAGAATATAAATTGCAAATGCCGACTGTTTGGCAGGTGACTTTCAGGCTCAGTTAAGGTTTTTGCTTGATGACATGCAGAGCGCCATTTCTGTTTTTTAAGCAGTTGCTTTCAGAACATCTGGAATAGGATAATATGAGAGGGGAGATATACATGAACGTTTCAAGGTGCCTTTAACTTCACTCCATCATGTAAGAAGCAAATATATTTCAAAAGCGCATTCTGGAAAAAAGGAATGACTGGCACCGTCTTAATATGTAATGGCGTTTTGCAATTTGTCAATTTGCGAAACCAGCAAATTCGACTAATGCTAGCTTACAAAAATTTAGTGACCAGTATCCAAGCAGCACAATGTTTAGAAGACTAGTTATCCAATCTCCATATCACAAAGCATTTTCATTCCCTTTGCAGCTGAACATCTTTGGTGCTGTCTATCAGTAAACACCTCACTGCCATGCATTTGTTGGTAATGTGTTTTATGTATTGTGATTCACTACAGTTCCAGAATGAGTTCTTGAATTGTTTGCTTTGCCTTTCATATGGCGAATACTGACACTCAATTCAGAATTTTTTTCCTACACCCTTACCTCCACTTATTTCCATTTAGTGCCACTGCTTGCTGCTATTACACTGTAATAACTCTAACATTTACAATGTATATAATCTGTAAGAATGCATTGATAGATTACCCTTAAGGCTTTCAGTATATGTAAAACCTTTTCAAACATTTGATACAAAGTACCAAGTTTGCAGATCTAGCTCTTATTTTGGTATTACCTGTTTATTTTATAACATCGAAACTCATTTTGTTGTAGGTTTTTATTTTTCTTGGAGTAGACATTTTATGTAAGATTTAAGTTATGCAATACTTGTATATTTTGCATTTTTGAAATGCAGATAAAAGAATATTTTCAGATTGTTAAAAAAATGTTTTTAGCTTTACTTTGTATAAAGTGCACAAAACCTTTTCCAGGAAGGTGGTCAACAGTTTTCATTTGCAATCTTGGGTAATTATTTAGTTTTGTCGACTTTAACAAGTACGCATGCTTGGCTTCTTGCACACCTGATTTGAGAAAATATACCCATAATTAGAGAAATTGTTTCAACAACGAACCGGAAATCACACCTTTTTTCTAAATTATGTGGAAAGTAATTCTGTACAGCATGATTTCATACATTTACATATTATTATAACTTGACTGAATATGACTGAAATGTGAATTTAAATTTTCAAACGCTACTGTAACAGTCAACCATATAGTCATATTCACTGAATACATATTCCCTGGTTTATGAAATGCATTTCCTAAATGTCCTTTCTAATTTATACTGTGATGAATAGGACAAATGTCCATGTATTTTCATTTGTGTGGCTGACTGGGAATGTTAGACTTGTCTTTTTACCCTTCAGCGCTTTTTGAATTAAAGATATTAAAAAAAGTCCAAAGATCACTTTTATAAATGTATTTTTATTGGTGTCATTTATCATATTATTGGAGGGTGAAAATAAATGTCAGTAGTTTAAAATGACACGGAAATTTGAGAATGAAGGCCATGCAAGAGAAGATGCTGGCTGTTATAATTTAGCTTAATTTTTCTTTCTCTCATAGCATCTTTAGTTAAAATGATGGATCTGGGTGTTTTATTTTTCTAGGGTTTTGAGTTTGAATTTCACCATCACTGTGTTGTGTGTGTTTCCTCCTGTGGTGAAAAGACATGCACTTAAGATAACTGGTCTCTGAATTGTCCATCGAGTATGATTGTGTGTAGTGCCCGGCAATGAACTGAAATTCTGTCTAAGGTGTATACTCCTGCTTTATACCCATTTCTGCCTGGGATACATTCCTGGTGACCGTGACCAGAATAAGCTGTTAGAGGATGGATGCATGGATGATGAAACTGGTATTTTATTCCTGTTTTGAATTTAGAACAGAAAGATTTAAGTAGCGAATTATACTTTTGTTATGGTTTACATGACCATCTTTGATCGGTAAAATGTTGAGACAAGGAAACAGTAAATTATTTTCAAAAGTTGTTTCCAGACACCTTGCATAAGGATCTTGCAATAAATTAATGAATGAGCTTTGAAAAACAGGCAGCAGGTTCTGTAGGAAATGTCCTGTATACAAACATGTGTAGGGTATCTGCATTATCATTAAAAAAAAAAAAAAACCTTCAGTGTGTTAATTTTTCAAGCTGCATTCCATGGGCTGTGCTGAATTCACTCTTAAGCTCAACATTCCATGAAAAGTCAAGTCATAAAAGAATATTGCTCAAAGTCTACAGTACGTATGGATAGTTTTATCAGCCAAACTAAGAGAAAAGCAGGTTTGAAATGGCATGAAGTTCAAATAATCTTGAAGAGCGCAAAGTCAGCAGCTCCTGCTAATGAGCTTGTGTGTATCAAGCAGCACTCACTAGGCTGTCACAAGTGTTTCATCTGTCTTTATAATGATTCACAAACCAATCATTATGCTCAAAAGTCTGGGAAAAGCTTGAATCATGCATCAGGCTCTGCTCCTCAGTAAGTTTAGGGCTGATCCAAGTAACATCATTTTCTTTTCCTCTTTGATTTACCTTGTAACCATCCATCTGTTTTTTGTCATTCATCCACAATCCTCCCTCTCCCTGGCCACCTCCTTCATGCCAAGGTATTCCCAGGCCAACCAAGAGATGTAATATCTCCACAATGTCCTGGGCCTACCCTGAATCTCCAAGTTGGACATGCCCAAATCACATCCTGAGGATGGCCTCCTGGAGGCACCCTGGACTTATGCCCAAACCATCTCAGCTGGTTCCATTCGAAAGAGAGGCACAGCAGCTGTACATCAAGCCCCTCCCAAACGTCCAAGCTCCTCACCCTATCTCTAAGGCTGAGCCCAGACAGCCGGCGAAGGAAGCTCATTTCCACCCCTTGTATCCACGATCTCATTCTTTCGGTCACAACCCAGAGCTTATGACCAGAGGTGACAATGGGAGTAAACGCCCCAGTGCATGCTGGAGGTCACAGCTCAGTGAGGCTAATAGGACCACACCTTCTGCAAAAAGTAAAGATGCGATCCAGAGGTCACTGAACTGGACACCCTCCAACCCTTGACTGTGCCTAGAAATTCTGTCCATAAAAGTTATGAACAGAACCGGTGAAAAAGGGAAGCCTCTAGGAATTAGTCTAACTTACTGGCAGCAATACAAACATTACCTCCCATTATAGAGGGACCCAACAGCCCATAACAGTGGGTCTGGCACCCCATAGTGGTGGAGAACCCCACACAGGACCCCCCGAGGGACATGGTCGTATCCCTTTTCCAAGTCCACAAAACACATATAGACTGGTTGAACAAACTCCAGTGAACCCTCCAGTATCCTTGTGATGGCAAACAGCATGGTCCAGTGTTCCACAACCAGGATGAAATGTGTGTTGTTCCTGTTGGATCAGAGTTTTGACTAACGGATCCTCCTGTTGAAAAGGCATGTCAGCCAAGATGGCCCAGCAACAACCAGAGCCTTCTGGAGTTTAGGGTGAATCTCATCTATCCTCAGTGACCTCAGCCCTAGAAATACCTCTTCACAGTCCACTGATGCTATTTCCTCCAAGGAAGGCACGTCAGTGGCATTCAGGAGATTCTCAAGTGCCCGTTCCACCATCTGACAAGATCCCCAGTTGTGGTCAACAGCACTCAAACCCTGCTGTTAAGAATCTGGGCGAAGCCCTGTGTCCCCCTCCTGAGTCACCCAGTGGTTTGCCAGAAAGTAATTTTCCATGGCCTTACCTAATTCCTCCCCCATTTGCATTTTGCTTCCACATCTGCTTGGCGCGTGCAAGAGAAGCCCTACAGTACAGGGATTCCAAGGACTGTAAGGTGGCATTAGCAGGCATCGAGGTAAGGACGGGAAGGAAATGGAAGGCTGAGAAGGCAGTGGAGGTGGCAGAGTCACGCCTAAGGCAGAAGACACTGGTGGGGGTCTTGGCAACAGGGAGAGCAGGCTTGGGGTATTTCCCAAAGGCCAAGGTCAGCAGGGCACAGGGAAAGGAGAGACACAAGCTATTCCAGGAAGAGGTCCGTGCAGGTGAGGAGGAGGAGCGAGTAAGTAGGGCCGTAGGGCTCAGGCAGCAGGGAGCGTGGACAAGGTGGGAGAGTACCTTGCAGCGCAAGGTCACCTGGGCAAACATCATGCAGGCAGACTTCCACCGCGTCCGATTCCTTGTGCAGGCAGTGTACGACACCTTGCCAAGTCCAGCAAACCTCCACGTGTGGGGGAAGAGCGAGACACCTTCCTGTCCTCTGTGCTTTGGAAGAGGCACCCTAGAACATCTCCTCAGCAGCTGCCCAAAGGCCCTGGCCGATGGTCGGTATCGCTGGCGTCATGACCAGGTGCTTAGAGTAGTTGCCGAAAGGATTGCCTCAGCAATCAGCTCCAGCAATCACCATCACGCTCGGAAGAAAGTAATCTCTTTTATTAAGGCTGGAGAGAAACTCTAGGTGCGGCCTCCGATCGGCAGCTAAAGGCTGACCTGGATAAACAACTGAAGTTCCCCCAGCACATTGCAAAAACATCCCTCCGGCCAGACATGATCATCACGTCTGAGGCTTCAAAACATCTGATCGTGCTGGAACTCACAGTGCCCTGGGAAGAGCGGATTGAGGAGGCCAATGAGAGGAAACGTGCTAAGTACCAGGAACTAGAGCAGGAGTGCAGGGGAAGGGGCTGGAGGACATTCTTTGAGCCCATAGAAGTGGGATGCAGGGGCTTTGCAGGTCGTTCATTCTGCAAAGTCCTCGGCCGGCTGGGGGTGACTGGGGCAGCCAAGAAGAGGGCTATCCAGGCTGTGAGCGAAGCTGCAGAGAAAGCCACAAGGTGGCTGTGGCTCAAGAGGGCTGATCCGTGGGTAGCTACTGGTACGCAAGTCGGGGCCTGGGTCGCCTGGGCGAGGGTGTCTGATGTTGCGAGACCCGAAACACCTGTTGACCCCAGGATACATCACTGATGATGCGTACCAGGGCATCCAGGAGATGTTTCTTGCATAGGCCTGTCAGTACCTGTCAACTGGCTCCAGGATCCCCCAATCTAACCAATCTAAGGCCTTGTTCTTTAGTCTGACATCACCTTTATCACAGGTGTTCACCATCAAGTACCGGGGGTCTCCCAGTAGAACAAGGGGTACTCAGAGAGGGCATCCACAGCCCCCCACCTAAGGTCTCCAAGAAGCCTAGATACTCTGAACTGATGTTCAGGGCATTGGCAAAAGCAACAGTCAGAGCCCATCCCCCAACAAAGTCAAAGAGAGACGCCCCTCTCATTTAGTGGGGTAAACTCCAACGTCCTGGTGCCAAATCTGGGGGGCTATGAATAGACCCGCCCCTGCCTGGTGCCTCTTACCCAAGACAACTCCAGAGCGGAATAGACTTCAGGCTTCATTGTAGCTCATTATACACTGTTAACACTGTTGCATATCACCACTGTGCATGTGTGGAGTTTTTAAGCAGGATAAGTGGTTGCAAGAGAGATTTATGTGGCTAACACCTATTCCAGAACTACGAATATTAATATCATGCACATACCCAAATCCACTTTAAATGCTACTGATTATGACCAGAGCAAACATCAGTTTCTTAGAGTAAAAATACTGATGTTGAAATTTTGTTTTTAAGTTAAACTCTTGGCCATGAAAATATCCTCTACATGTGAAAAAGAATATCTAAAATAATGATGAGCAAATGAAACTGAAGAGGTACAAAACATGTTTATTGAAACATCTCAAACAATATTTTATTAGCAAGCTCTTTATAAGTTGCATAAAAATAGAAACTGTGAGAAATGACACGGGCAAACGTGTGGGAAAATCGTTCCTGTTTTACAGACAAACACACTGCAGCTTAAGTGCTGCACTTGCACGAGAGCTCAGGACGTCAACAGAAGAAAGCAAAGTACAAGCTATCATGTGTCTATCTGGAATTTAAGCTGCATGGTCATAATCAAACTACTGCAAAAAAAAAAAAACCACTGCACCCACCTCACACTGGACACTGATGCAAACTCTGGAGGAATGTATAGAAACCCAATACTGTCAGAATTATTATTCCAAGTACCAGTCCCACATCAACAGATGACAGGAAATTACGAGAACAGGACCCGTCTGCTACAAATTTATTTTTATTTACAATTTCTTTTCAATGGTTCTTAAGTGTCATTTATAGGTGTGGAGACCCCACACTGCTAATGAATCTTAGAAAGAACCTTTTTCTTCCAGAAACATTAAATCCACTAAAAACGACCTCAGCTTTTCTCCTAAAGGTCACTGCTTCGGCAACACAAATCAGGTTTTGCTTCTCAAAGTCCAAAAATTTTACCTGAAGTAGAAAATACTGAGCACCCTTACTCCCACCCAGAAATATTTCTGGTATTTTAATACAAGAAAGGAGAAAGTGAGTCTTTATTTAACCAAGTTAAAGGCTCCCCAGAAATCTTGTTTTCAGCTGTAGCTCAAGAAGTGTTTACTAAGATGCCGCTTGTTTACTTCTGCCGGTAGTACAATAAGTACATTTTGAGTGGTTCGGGCAATGGCAGGGAGAGGATTCTCTCCCTTAGCAAGTTAACTGCAGGTTCTTGTGCAGAATCTCTGTTTCCCCTCTCCTCTTCTTCATCATTGGCCTGGTACCCCACCCCAAGCCGTCCCAGCTGACCCTCCTCCTCCACACCGTCACTGCTGTCATCGTCAAAGGATTCCGGAATCATGCGGTGCTCTAAGGTGTGCTTGCTGGCCAAGAGCACAGAGTTGATGCGTCGCCGGTGAATGCGCCTTCGCTTGAAACAAGGCCCGCTCTTGGGCACCCCCACCAGTGGCGGCTGACACCCAGCGGCCTCCCGCTCATGACTGGCCCCCAGAATCACCTTCAAGGTGTGACGTATGGAGATGCGTGCAAAGTCTTGCAGCGTCCGCACTTCGAACATCGCTGCTTCAGGGGATTCGCCAGAGGATGTGCGTTTGTACAGGTAAATGAACAAAGGGACAATAATGGGAGGAAAAAATTCAAGAGGTTATTTTTGTCACTATCACTCTTTCACTGGTTAAACAAAACTAAGGGATAAACCGCATCAAGGTCTGCAGTTATTTGAAAAAAATCAATGACAACTTGGTGTAATGTAGCCCGACACCAAGCGGCGAGCCACAAACCAAGTTGGAGTATTATTTTCATATAACCACATACCTTAAAGTGGTTTATCTCGCTTATACCACGGTTAATAAACAAAAATAATAATAGAATAAACTAGTCACGGTTAAATTTTTAGAATACAATTAAATCAATTAGCATTTAATAATGTTCCAATGTGCTCTTAAAATACAGTCTCTACATGGATAGAATGTCTGGTCAGGCTACTCACTGGAAGCACCCATGTGATTTATGGCTGTTTCTGCATACTTACGTAGAGGAACCCCTGTGGATTGGCTCCTGTCCCCATTCTTTGGCAGCACAAGAGGGGCAAAAGAAACTGCAATGATCTTCTTTGTTTCCCAGGTATTGTGACTCGTGCGCGTGATCTTTGTCAGCTGTAAAAAAAAAAAAAACAGGAAAACTAAAAACTAAAAAACGTTTACATGTAAACATCTTGTTTCTTAAATTTACCAACATAATTTATTTGTGAATTTAACTGTAAATTTTTAGGAATACAAAAGTTCCACAGTAAGCAAAAAAAGTTGAGTGGAAGAGATACAACTCCCACAGCTGGCATAAGAGACTCACAGATTGTGTGTGGGGCACCAAGCTGAAATACCTTGACCAATTTTAACCCTCCACCAGTGTTGTCAAAAAAACCCATCAGGATTAAACTATACTGAGTCATCTAACACAAACACAACCACAGAAGCACACTTGGTCAATAGTCGCTTTAGATCAACATTTGGAGCTCTACCGTAACAGAGGGCAAAATGGAAGGAAAAAATATGTGCTTTAGTGAGATCTAGAAATCCTTTTGCATTGCCAATAATAACTGCAGTGTCCGTTCAAAGTACCAAGAGCAGAATTAATGGACTAAAAGCAAAATCACATGTACAGTAAAGTGTGCTTTAAGCATTACACTACGGGGCATAATGCACACCACATCATTCTTATATTATATATTTTTACAGGTATTTATTAATAATTACACTGTGTCCATTCACCCCAGTGACTGTAAGTAAGCGATAGCTATTGAACATGAAGGGCACATGCGAACATCCATCTATACGTCCATGTTCTATACCCGCTCGTCCTATGGGCCTTGCACCCATAGCTTCTGGGACAGGCTCCAGACCCATACTGTCAGAAAAAAACAGTACCAATTTGCCCCTTTGCTTTTCACTGGGGCTGTACCCTCAAGTGCCTGCCAATTGTACCCTAACTGTAGGTAACTGTACCTTTTAAAGTTAAAATCCAAATTATTCTTGATGGTGCTGGATGAACACATCGAAGTGACTCACCTTCTCCTCCAGTGGCAAAACCAGGATTCCCCCAACCTTCAGAAGGTTCTTCATAAAGTTCTCATGCTCCCTTTGCACGCCTGCTCCACAGTAGACCCTGTCATACTGTCTGCAATTTGGGATGATCTCTAGGCAGTTCCCAACCACAAAAGAGGGCTCGCAAAACTCAAATCTGCACGGGGACAAATCAAAACATAGCAGTCTTCAATGCATATAAACACAAGTTTATATTATGTTACACAACAAAACAAATACTTAATAAATGTATCACTAGGTATATGCGTTTTCACCCCTTAAAGGTGGCAGCTATGGATTTCCCTACAAAAGTAGGGAGTGTGCAAGAAGTGTTACTTGTCAAAACTGTCGCTGGTCTTGATGAAGAAATCCAGTTTCTTGTAAGCATAATCTATGACATCTGCATGAAGCTCAACCCCATGGTTGACACCAAAAGGACCTGGTGAAAAAGTCAGGGGTCAGAAAACTTGTGGACATATATTAGCAATGAGAAATCCCACATTAGAAATGGCCATATTTTGTATGGTAAGTTAAATTTGTTTTGTGCAGAAAAAAAGTTTCAACATACAATTAACTGATCTTGCATGCCAAGTCAAACATGCAGTAACAAAGTTTTATTTTGCCAAATTGTTCATTACACAGTCTATCAGGACTCCTTCTGCAGGAACAACTGAATATTAAGCAGTTTCATCTCAGTTTGAACAGTTGAGGACCAGAAAGGGGATCAATCTGACATCTCAAACTTAGCAGACGGTCTCACCGAGAATGAGGCCCACCATGGTGCTGAGGTAGCCTGTGCCACTACCGAGGTTCAGGAAGGACAGCCCTGGCTGCAAATCCAGGGCCTCCATCACCTCAGAGTAGATGCAGGGAGCAGACAGGTGGATGTTCCCATGCCTCCAGGCGAGGTCTTTATAGGCGTTATCACGGAACTCCTCCAAATAATAATCAGCGCGGTCAAGGGCCCGGAAGGCCTGCTCCACCAGGTCTGAGCGAATGTAATGTGCTTCCTTCAGGTTGTCAATCAGCTCATCATTGTCCTCCCCAGCACTTACAGCCCCTCCCATTTTAGCAGCACGAAAAGGTCTGAGTAGGTGTCTACTCCTGCAAACAGGAAATGGGGGGTGGGGGGGAATAAAGCAGACACATAAATTAAATTCAAATGCCACAGGATTTGTTTAAAATGCATCAGGACTTGGGATACATTATCTGCCCTGCCATCTTAAACAACAATCAACCAATAATAAGTCTTGCACATATTTTCCCTGATTGGTACAAATATTTCTTACATTGTTTTATACATTTTTTAATATGGCACAGCACCATGGATGGCTTTCAACACAAGCCACAATAAATAAAAAGACTGAACAATGTCATATTCAGGGAATGCAGGAGTCCTTTTCCTGTCACACAAGAGATCAAGAGGTAAATATTTGCGCGCGTGCCACCAGTTGATGGCGCTGAAGGGTTCACTTAGTAATAAACACCACCACTATTTCCTGGATTTACATGCACTGTCTTTCCTTATTTGTCCATCGTTTTTCCCCGTGTGCAGGCGTATTTAAAAATGCAATCTTTTCATCTACTAATAAAAATGCCACGTTATACTATTTAATGCATGTGGCACCTTATAAACATGCAGCATACGAAATAATAGAACTGCCATACTCACAATGCTAAAATTTTGGCTATCGAATCGTGGCGCTACCGTTTACATGCAGCCTGACTTAATTCGGAAAAATACCGACGTTTAACGCAACTGCGCAACAAAATTACATGAAATGTAATGTGCTAAAGTTCGCCCACCTTCATATTATTCCCCTGTATGTTAAATCGGAAATAAAAAAAAAAAACGAAAGAAGAGGAGGAAACAAACGGAGGAAGTCTTGCCACGGCTGAGAAGAATAGCTCACGGCTGTAGAAACATTTTAGGCATTAAAACGTTTTACCAGGAGTCTCTCGATTTGGAAAGAGAATAAGGTGTCGCTGCACGGTAGTGCCGCTTTTTCCCAGCGCTTTCACAGAGGTACCTTCCTACCCATCGCCACACTGCATGTAAACATTTACCACCTGACCAACTGACGTCACGCGCGCTCCCGAGAGTCGCGGAGTTACCGGCACAATTCGCTACATCCAACCACATTCTCTAACACATAATTTCACCTCTAAAGAGAGAAAAAGAATTCCCTTCAGCTCATGACCTGATGGTGGTGGAGGGGTTTGTGTGCTTTAATTAATAATCCACAGAGCAATGTGTTCTGGAGTTTTATCTTCCTGTAGCTATAACCTCCCTTAGCAAACAGCTTTTTGAAACAAACGAAGATCCAACAGAGAATAATGAAAAATAAAATAGAGTCAGGAATATGCTTATTGGACCTACTCCTGGAGCCAGGCCTGGTTTTGGTGTTTGTGGGGGGACACTTAGTGGCCGGGCCATCCATGTAACCCAGCAAGGCTCAGCCTGAAATGGCTATATTGAACATCTTCCGAGCTCACCACTCATAAGATGAAAAGCGGGGTCAGATGCAGTGCCATATGGGCAGCAAGCATAAGGCAGGTAGGACCCAGACACCCCGACTGTCAGTTCTGGAACTAAACCCTTCAATCGGTAGTCGATCCTTCGCTGGATTTACTCTTGGTAAAAGACCACAGGTGGGTGTTAGGTACTCCTGTCTGCCCAGTAGGTTAAAGGATTGCTTCTATGCAACTGATAGCTGCAGAAACTTGAGGCTTTGTGTTTTGAACATTAGTGAAGAGAGTGTGCCAAGTGAATTCAGGGACATGAAGTATGAATGGACTATGTTCAAGGATTCTGTTGTTGCAGCGGCCACATTGGGCTGTGGGCAGAAAGCAGTCGTGCCTGTCATGACAGTAATGCACTGATGGACTCTGGTGGTGAAAGAAGCTGTCAAGCTGAAGGGGGAGGCCTTCAGGGCAATGCTTGCATAGGACTCTCCTGAGACAGCTGAAATATACAAACAAGCTAGAAAGGCTGCAGCAAAGGCAGTGACAGAAACAAAAGCTTGTGCGTAGGAGGATTTAAAGAGGCTATGGAGCATTGTGTAACCCCAAAAGATGTTTTGGTAAACTGTTTAACAAATCAGGTAGGACCTCAGGAGAGAGGTGAGATCTTGCTGAGGCTCTGTTCACCTGGGGTTGGGAAGTGTTGACTTACCTTAGGGATGTTGTCTAGCAGTGCAAGGTACACTTTGAGGAACTTCTCACACTGATGGAAATGGTGGCTGTACTTACCAGCAGTCAGTATTAGAAACATCTGGTGGACCATAGTCTATGTCTGTTGTTGAAGTTGCTGTAGTGATAAGATGCCTTCGTGGTGGAGAGGCTGCAAGTGTGTTTGAAATTACTGGATGTTGTGGGGGTGAAGTGGTTGAGGCACCCCTTCAACATTGCATGGAAGCAGGTAAAGTACCTCGGAACTGGAAAACAGAAGTGATGGTTGACTAGGTGGTGCATTCCAGTTATAGAATAAATACACTTCTTAGCATTCTTGGGTAAGCCTGTTCCAGAATATTAGAGAGGAGACTCTGCTTCATGGTTGAACTACAGATTTAGGAGCAACAATATGGTGGCCATGGAACAGTAGACTAACTCTTCCCAGTTGGCTTGGAAACATCAGGGGACCATGGCGTCAGTAAAGGAGGTCTAGTCTGACCTGCTTCATAAGCTGCCACTGCAATTTTCACCAAGAAAAGTGATGTGAAAAAGATAAAGAAAAACACAATTCATTTTCAAATTAGATTGTGTTGATTTAATCGTGGTGGCACAGTAGTTAGCACTGTTGCCTCATACCTCTGGGACCATCATTGAGTCTCTACCTCGACTCCCTGTGGGGTTTCCTCCTGGTGCTCTGGTTTCTCCCCACGGTCTGAAAGCATGCTGAGGTTGATTGGAGTTACCAAACTGCCCATAGGTGTGCAGGTGTGAGTGTGTCCTGTGATATATTGGTCTCCCATCCTGGGTTGTTCTCTGCCTCATGCCCACAAGCTCTGGACCCCTCACGACTATGAATAGGATAAGTGGTTACAGAAAATGGACGGTTTAATTATTTCCTTGTTTATATGCAGAATTTGAAATTAATATAATTGTGGTTGTACCAGGGGACTTCACTGATAATATAATATAAAGGAAGTGATAAAAGTTAATCTATAGGCTACACTCCACTTTTGAGAACAGCCTGACTGCTGCCTACAGTGACCACTGCAGAATGCTTCCAATAATTATATAGGAGTGATATGGAAAACTGACTCCATACAAACAAATGGTGGCCTGAGACCCCTGAGTAAATTAATCATCAAACAGCTGTGTGTACTTTTATGGCTAAGATTGCATACTACATGTTTGATTCTGCCGGTGTTCACAACTAGCACCTGGGTTGTGGTGATTAAAGCTTGGATTTCATTTACATTTAACAAATTGTGTAGTAACTTGGTTGTATTCAGTTAAACTATTTTAGTGTAAATGCTCATTCATGTTGATTTTGAGGTAAAATGGGTGTCACTTATTTTTAGATTTCTGTCATGGGACATATGCATTTAAATTATGCAGTTTTTGCTCTTTAAAATGACCCGGTACTTCTGTCCAGCAGGTGTCACCATTCATTTACAAAATTCAACAACTTTTCAAAGCAATAAAAATATCCAAGATGTCTCCATTTCCAAAACGTGGAAAAAGTTCATTTTAAATAAAAAATGTAGTTGTTGAAGGCTTTAGGCCCCCTAAAATGTTCTTTAGAACCCCCCCCCCCACAAATAAGTGTATATTTATTGGCTTAAGTCATTAATAACTTTTTACATTACATATAAGCTTACCATCGCCCCAAGTAAAGACCCTGATCCATTAACCCTTTCAGGCTCAAATTAAGTTTTAGTAACGACAGGACAACCAAGTCCTGCAGTGGTACTTCTGAGTAAAAAAAACTCATAAAATATGTATGTGGGGTAATAAGGTAGTTAGTTTTTAACTGTTGCAAATCAGCAACGCCTGCCTTGAGAGGGTTAATCTCTAACTACACCCCTGCTGGGTATCTTGACACGTTATATTTACATATAATTGGCACAATAACAAATTATTCTATATTTTATTAGTTTATACATAAAAACAATATAGAACTAGAACCAACTGAACTGAAGTTATTGCTGTACCCTGTCTTTCCCATGTTCTGGATAATTTCCACTGTTGTGCTTTTAAAATATAGTATATAGATAGCAATTCAATGGTTACAGTGCTTTATTATAACCAGAATTGCAAGTGAAACCTCAGGCAACTATTGTTCAATAATAAATTCTTGCAGCATAATAAAATGTTCCTTATAATGTATCTCATTTTAGGAATGGCTAAATCACTAAAGTCACTTTGGATAAATGTAGCAACCAAACTGAAAGATTATTTTGCCGTTTGGACTTCTCAAGATTGGCGTGCATGTATTGATCTAATACAACCTCATAAAGGCTGATTACATACCTTACCTGACAATTTGCAGGACCAAGACTTGGCTGATCTTTCTCTTTCTTCCTGTTCCAGAAACACACATGCATGCACAAAAGAGTGACACAACAAAAAAAAATGTGCTAATGTATGGATGCAGATGAAAGTTATCTATATTTGCAGGACCAAGACTTGGCTGATGGCTCTGCAGGGAGGTCTTGTGCAGTGATTGGCAAAGAAACTCTCACTAGATTAGACCTGTATAGCCTGGGAAAACCATGTCAAGGCTGGAAGAGAGCTGCTGATTAATGCCAAAGCTGCTGCCTGACTAATATGGCCTGGCTTTGGTTTAAATCATTCCCTAGGCTTTACAGTCTGAGCCTTTCCGTATCCTCACTTAATTTCACATGCAAATAAAGTAAAAGGAATATCCATCTTTGGCAGCTTTCTCGTCTAGGGTCAGGTGAGCCTGAAGCCTATCCCAACAAGTACAGGACATGGGACAGTGGACACCCTAGATGGGATGCCAGTCCATCTCAGAGCAGTCACATACAGAGAATGTCATACTAAGGTCAATTTCATCCGATTGGTCCCCCCAACCACATGTTTTTAGGCTGCAGAAAGAAGGTGGTGCAAAAATACGGAGAACATGCCAACTCCTTGCCCAAAGAACAGGCACAGAATTACAACTTCCAACCCTGGAAGACTGAGGCAACAGTGTTACCAACTGAATCACCGCGCCATGGTTAAAGAAATACACTTTTTCCTTATTATTCTTAATATTTGGGTTTCTATTTATGCTAACAGTTAATTTGGTAAGGAGTTTAGAGCCAGAGCTCTATGCCAGAAACCACAGGTCCTGCTGAGAGTAACTTATTTCACTTGAGACTCCCTCCATCTGTCAGCACATGGGATGGTGATCGGCCATTTTAGGGCTCCTACCAATCTCCACTTACAACATCAGCAGCCATTGCTGTTGCAGCCACGTTGAGATCAAAGTAGAGATTCACTTTCTGGTCTTTGTTTTAGCCTGCACCGCCAGCACTCCAAAAAAAAAAAGAAAAAAGTCAGGACTTCATAAAAAACCCAGAAGAACAAAATGGCATCACAAATTCTTGGATCTCTATGCTTTCTCTTTCTTCCTGTTCCAGAAACACACATGCATGCACAAAAGAGTGACACAACAAAAAAAAATGTGCTAATGTATGGATGCAGATGAAAGTTATCTTTGTTTCTCATTTATTTTTTATGCAAATGGATATGGGATTAAATATAAGAGCCAGCAGAAGCGCGCTGGCTGAGTGGTGGAGCTCGTGCTTTGAAGCTTCCTCAGCTGTCCTGGCTTCAGAGGCTAACAGCTTGTCATCTGTGCCAAGTGCAGGCTCTGAGAAATAAAGGGCGTGAGGTCCACTACAGATGGACAGGCTGTTCTTCTGAGTTTTGAATTCATTGAGAAAAACAGTAGGGGTTTAAAGGCTGTGTGTGTGTGTGTGTGGGGGGGGGGGGGTGTGACCGTTGGAGTGTTGATACACAGTTTTCATTTGTCGTCAACTGACTGGTTTTCAGTTTTTGAATTATTATGATTCAGCTGGAGAACTGCAAGTGAAACCTCAAGTTTTCTTTTTCTTTTTTGCAAAGGACAAACAATTCTACGAAATGCTTTATTATAAACATAAAATGAATTAAACTACTTATGAAAAACATTACACAGGCCTTTTTCAGACTTATGGTAAGCATCTGCTCTAATAGCAGAATGACTAATGATGAAAGCCATATGTTATATTTCTCTTGCATCTGGGCCTCCGAGAAATGATGGAGAAATAACACTGGCTCATTATTTCAATAATAATTTATTATTTTCCATAGATAACATTAAAATGAATCATACACACAATTACAGACATCACTTTTTTCAATAACACTGACAAATGTAAACAGCTGCACAGGTACATGAATTCAGAGACTTTACAATCCAGGCAGATTTACAGAGTTCACTTCAAAAAGACCTCAAAAAAATAAAAAATAAAGACCTCAGCAGACAGACACTCAAGGCTTGGCCCGCTTTCTACAAGTAACCCCTCTTCTACACAAGAAAATTAAAAAAATAAATAAGCACAGTTCATTATTATTATTTTGGAAGTTTTTGTCATTTGGAAGTACTGTCTTTTTGAAATCAATGTCCACATCAGTACTATAAAAAATATTACCAGTAAAAATAGTTATCTTTAAAAATGTGCTAGCAGGACAAACCTTGACTGTAAATGATATCACACTGCATCTAACAGTTTTTTTTTTTATTTAGTGCTACATCAACGACAAGAACAACACTGTCATTTAATACAATTTTTTTTTACAAAGAATTCCACTTGTTTTAAAATAATGCCCTGCCCTTGTTCATAGTCCTTCTATATGTCATCATTTGTTTCCTCATATCTTTATCTTATAGTATTTCACCAGTTAATGGAATTTGGTACCTGAATCATCATATCAAATCACAGTTTCTTTGCGTGTTTTCTCTCTCTAAAGCTATACGGAATCTGCCACCATCTAAGTCACTACACCTGTTTGTGTTTAAGTTGGCGGCATGTTTCACTATGTATGATTATTTTCATCTTCACCCCTTTCACTAGGGTCTTGCTATTCACTTTTCACATCCTGAGCAATATTTGAATCCAGTTCCCTTGTGTAAACAAACCCTTTCCTGCAATGAATGGAGTGAGAAAGGCACAAATGATAAAATTACAAGTTTTAAGCTACAGTACCTAGTAGGGAATTTTGGTTATGCAAGCTTAATAGAGTCCGTTTCTACCAAACATGCCTTTCTCCTCTTTGTGCATGTGTTTTATATCTGTCTTAGAAATTATTGTTATTATTATTATTACTTTTTCATTTGAAACTCTGGCCATGTCTATATTTCAAATATTTAAGTACCTTATTTTTCTCTAAACCAGTGTGTCCATTTTCTAGCTTTTGTTAAGTGGAGCACATGGTCTGAGTCAAGACACAGTTTGGGCCTTCAGCCTGTATTTTTGGTGCATGTAATTGTAAAGATTCGTCCATTTGACACTTTAATTGCTGGGTAATGGAACCTAATGTTAACGTGCATATAGAGCAAAGAACACATGGAATCTTTTAACCCATTTGCAGGAAAACAACATTAAACCCATTCACCAAGGAATAAAGAAACTTAAAGGGATATAGGCTACATAGAACCAACACTTGCCAACATAGAACCAACGTTTTCCTTTCTTTCTTGAAAAGGGAAATTCAGAATCTCATATGGTCTTCAGTCATTCCTATTCATTCATTATCAAGACACTGGGGTTAGGGCAAAATACTAAAAATTAAGGAGGAAACAGGAAAATTAAGAAATTAAGACATGGTGCATAAGTACCATCAGTTTAGCGTGAATAATCTGTAGAAAAATAAATATATGTATTAATAGTATTTTAAGTTATCAGTGATGGATATCGGTAAATGCTACAGACTCCTCATTCTTTGCCCTGAACCCATTTTTTTTCACACAGGGCTTGATTCCATCTGGTTTATCTCAGAGCTCTACAAGGGTTATTGTTGCTTCTGTATTTATTCTAACAAGCATCAGTTATTCATCAGAATATAACTTAAAAGCAAACAGGTTGTGTATGTCTTAACAGAGAGACTGAAGATTCTGTCTGCTATTGGTTTTAGGGTTAGGCTTAAGGTTAGGACTGATCTCCAGACTTTCAGTCAAAACACTAATATACAATCAGTTTGAAGTTACAGTTTGTGACAGGAAAAAAATAAATTTATATTTACAGTTATGTAAATACTTGTTCTAGTGCTAGGGCTGAGCTCTGTCCATGAAAGCTGAGGCTATGGCACTGTTGTCGGTGTACCTCAGGGCCAGATGCCACATTCACTGCCAGAGTATCCCCAAGTATTCTGCCAGATCACATTTTATAATGTTACATATCTGCTGGGATACAGCCTGCAGTAAAGAGTATTAGCTAATCCACTTTAGAAACTTCAGCAAGCCAACTTAATTATTCTATTCATATACTGGGTACGATTTCATCTCTGAAAACTCTCGTCAATGCTATCATAACTGATTTGTACGGTTGTTTAAGTATGAATTTAGCAGAATAGCCAATACCAACAGTTTGTGCATGTTAAGTTTCTGTAGACACTTTTGTGATACTGCCCCAAAGACAGTACCTACATTTAAAGACATCACATCTTTGTTTACCAAGCATGATTATAAATGGTTTTGTCAAAATGGTCTAGCTTCATTTGTACAGCATACAAGACTGATATGTGTAGGCAATGGCAAAAGTGTTTAGAAAAATTACATTAATTTTTGAAAACCTATTTATATCTAAAAGATAACACTTTGAATGTAAATATCCTAAAACCACAGTCAACCAGGTCTGAAACAGGATTCACAACTTTAAAATGATGCACTTACTGAGTTACAGTATTTACACAAACTGTGTTGCTAAGTTACAAGGAGTGAACGGTAAGTGTGAACAATTACACTTGAAAAATATATCTATGTATTTATATATAGTATTTTTGAGAAGGTAAATATAGTGTATTTATGGCCATCTTGGCAAGAGAAAAGACATTTCATAAATCACTACTATAATCACTACTATATTACGCCACTGAAAAGAGGGTAGCATCATTGCTGAATGAGAATCAATAAAATTAAGTTATTAGCGGCACTTTGTGCATCAAAAATATAAAATAAGAATAAGGCTACAAGCCTGTATGCTTGTCTCAAAGAGGCTGCCATACGACTCATTCCAAAAACGAATTGTGAAATTTCACTTCTGTGACTGGAGATTCACTTTGAATATCAGTGGTTCAACATAACAATACAGTATAAAAGAAGGTATTTAACAGAAGGCATAAATCATTATAAAGACTAGCTTGGATGAGCCTGGTATAGCTGCTACAGACTGCTAAAAGGTAAAGTATAATACAGTAAATTTGTCTTATTTTTCATCATTACTCCCCTAGATAGTAAATACTGACGTACTTTAGCACAATGTGAAAGGAAAAGCTGCTGGTTTTCTGGTACATGATGGACACATCATGGAATCCAATACTATTTTGGACATTTTTGAGAATGAGTGAATATAAATAAATGTTCTCTCACTTAAATATCGAGAGGACTATCCATATTCACACTCCGCCTTCATAAACACAACATTTTAAAATAAATATTTGACAATATCACTGTTTCCATTGTTGCCATTATTTGTTAAATATTAAATAAATAAATACATCATATTATTTCTGCTGATGGCTGAAATATTTTACAGAAAAAAACATAACAAAAGTGAAACTTTAAAAAATATCAAACCTTGTCAGATACAAAATATTTGCACTTAAAAAAGAGGCTAAAAATCTCACCTGTGAAAATAAATAAGATATATAAAATAATTTGCTACAGTTGAAATTCTAAACCGCTTCCTCAACTTTGAAAACATATATGAGGAAGACTTATTTCCTCGTGGCTGTTTAAAAATACTGTATAATGGTGACATAAAGTCAATAAATAGGCAAGGTTAAATAAATAGGCAGATTTAACATAAATTAGTGTGAATAAATTACATTTCACTCCCTCAAAGATTTAAATAATTTATATAAGAACGGTAATTCTACAAACTATTCATGGAAACGAGGTGCAAATCCTATGCTCAAAAACACCAATGGAAACTCTAACTGACGGCTATTTACATGATATATAAAGGGAGAGGCGATGCCTGCTGTCTTCTGGACTTCCTAAAGTCATGTAGCTGTTACAGTATGAGCCATAGCTAGTAGGAATCCTTGGATGCAAGGACTATGGTCTTACAGAGGAAACAAATTACGTGCTTCAATGGCACAACCTCTGAGACCATGTATTCTCCCGCTCCGGACGTTTGAGAGTACAGCCACGGGCATCGTCCATTGGCTGAACCACCTCGTTGCAAACAAGCAAATGGCTTGTGAGTGGCAACTGTCGAGTGACAAACAGAGAACCCAGAAAACCCAGAACAAGAAAACTTTAAGGCCCAAATACTTATTGATGAAGAGATGCCACTAATGGAAAGAGCCATGTGTTTATCTTCCTACTGCCTATTCGCAAATATGCGGCGCAAAACATTTATGTGCATTTTTGATCTTCCCTGTTGTTTGGAAGGTTGAAAGAAGTCGGACTTGGCACATCCATTCATCTTGATGCCCAGTCATTTTTCTTCAGGGTGCCATGACAGAAAGGAAGTGGGACAAACCAAAAAAAAAAAATCTAAAAATAAATATATTCGAAGAATAAATACATAAATAAATGTGCTCATAAATAAGAAGAATTTGGTTCCGTTTGGCTTATCCTTATTAACCAGAAGCAGAATCTCTGGATTTCATTCGTACTTGTTTTCTCTCTGATGCAATGCCCTTGGGATGAAGTTGAACGACATGCTAATAACCTGAATGCCCGTTTCCCCCACATTTTACTCTCACTTTGCTCTTCTCCCTGTTGTTCTCGTCGGCCTTCAGACCTTGATGCCCTTCACTGCTTGGTTGATAGTTTCCAAAAGGGCCTTATTCTCAGGGTTCTGGTAGCAGTCCTTATTAGTGTACATATCGGTCAGAGTGCTCACGTAGGCATCAAAATTCTGCTCAGTTATTGGCTCCTGCTGAAATAAAATGTTTTGCATGTTTAAGAACCGAGTCTCTTCAAATCTTTTCTATTGTGTCTTTGCTATTGTCCCTCCCAATCTGGCAGGTCATCTTAATAACTTTGTCAGTCTGACACAACAATCCACTTTTAAAAGTTTGCAACTTTTGGCTTTTTTTCATCTATATTTGCAAGCAAATATGAAAAATTCTCTGTTCTCCAGCATTAATGATGAGTACCCAATCCAGCAGTCATTAGTCAGGAGAACATAAAACTTTACAAAATATATGACATAACCAAGCAAACAAGATATGCAACATCTATTTTCCTCATTTATAATGTTATAACGTTTAATGTGTTCATAAAATAACAGTTGCATAAAAAAACCTAATGTGATTTGGTGATTCTAATCTCAACAGAACATTGAATTACCTTGGAAATCAATAACACTTGGAAAGAGGAAGTGTATGTTTCTATTGTGTGGAAAACATTTTCTGTGGCTCCACGCCAGCAGATGGTTTTCTCTGTGACAACTCTGATTGGACACCGTCTACCGTGTCAATGGCTGCCACAGTGACTTGGGGACCTGCCGGCCGAGCATCCAGCGTGTGTGAAACTCACCATGTGCGGAAGGCGGATGTTGGCCAAGCTGCGGATCAGGGCCTTGCTCAGCCCGGATAACTCCACAAACAAAGCCTCGTTTTGCTCTTCGATCAGCTTGTTTTCCTCCTCGATGTTCTTCAGGTTTTTCTCCATTGATGAGATCTGAGGGCAATGCAATCCCCAAAGTGGTATTATTCCGCATTCTAATTTCTGATGTCACTTACAGAAGTAATATCTCTTTAAACCGTAATATTATGAAAAAGAAAGCCCGCAGAATGTGTTAGCCACATGCGAATTTCACCCCTGAATGGTTTAACAGGCAATTAAATGCACACATTCACAATTATGATCAAGTTGAATAATCAACATAAAAATACTTTGGGCGAAAGGACTCCAGGACAAACCTGTGTCTGGAGATTGACCATGTCTGCCTCCATCTCACTGTTGGATTCGTTTAGTTCACTAATCTCTTTGTTAAGTTGCTTGATATCTTCATCGTTGTCTAGAACTAATAGGGGAAAAAACAACAACACTGTCTTACAAAAAGCAAAGAGACTCCTAGAGTAAGTAGATGCAGGATGATCAATACATGTGATATTCAAAATAAGTATCAGAAACCGCTACTGAAAATGAACAAAAAACGTTTTTATGAGCTTACCATCACTGGCCCTGAATTTTGTACTCAGATACTCATCCCCAGAGAACTTGGCTTTCTTTTTGGCCAGAGAGGCTCTGGGGCACCCGGAGAGGCTGCAAACACAAGTGGGCGGTGATGTGAGGACTGGGAAGTTCAGGTCTTCCCGAACATATCAACTTGGATGTGGTCTGAGAAGAACCATTTAGGTGGCACTGGTATTCACTTTAATTCACAATTCAGAAAAACAACAATTCCAATGAAAACTAATGTAGAAGTGATAGATTTGTATGGCACGTCCATCTGCATTTTAAACTGGAAACATGCTGTTGGTATTGGATACGTAGCTCTAGAATGTGGTTGGATCTATGGATAACTGCCAGTGACGGATAAAGTGGTACACGGGAGGCACCCTGCGACTCCAGGCTTCAACCAGGATTACCTTCTGTGTGTGAGGAAGCTGCCATTGGCATGTCCTGAGCCATCACAGCCTGGGGTCGGGCAAGTGGGTCCTTCGGTCTTAAAGGACTTCCAGGAGAATGGAGAGCCATTGAGGAGCCCCTCCTTTTGCCTGCGGGCAGCCAGCGGGCACCCGTAGGCACTGCGATGGGTGGCATATTTCCCACTGATATGGCCCAGGCTGTCACATCCTGGGACTGGGCATCTGTTGGTTTGTGTGCGCAGAATACATAAAGAATTAAGATTAGCTCAACAAGGGTCAATGATACAAGACATTTCTATTTAAAATCCAATGCTAGTCATTTTCATTTCTGTATTACTTTGGGTTTAATTTTCTTTTATCATTGCAGTGTCTTTGTTATGCACAAAGAGACTACCACTACTGATGACGAATGAGAAGTCTACTTTTTTCCACTGTATACTATAACCTGAGTAAAGCGTGCGTTTTATAGTGGAAATTTATTTACCTGATAGAAAATGATAGTAATAATTTACACAAGAAGACAGTATTTATTCACAACTCCAAAAGAAGCCAATCAGACAGGAAATATTGAGCAGATACATGCATAATTTTAATGTGTATGTGTGTGTGCATATGTGTATACACATACGAATGTGTGTATGCATGTGTGTGTGTATGTGCACGTGAGTGTGTATATATATATATTTGATATAATATATATATATATATAAAATTTTTTTTACAAATCATATATATATAAGCAATATAACTGTGAAAAAACTGTTCTATTTTAAACCCTTGTGATGGATATTACCTCCACTGTTGTCCTCTATAAATAGCTACAGTGATAGCTACAGTGCAATCGGTTAGTTCCTATGGAATTATATCGGTTTGAAAGTTTATATCTGCTGTATCAGCTTTTTGATGAGGAGGTTTGTTATCAAAAAACGTGAGATGGCTTTTATTGCTGTACGAACTTTAAGAGCTCAGAGTCCTCCTTGTCGTCCTTGGTGGGGCTGGTTTTTGTTCCACCTTTCTTGGCACGGGGGCAACCGGACAAACTGAAAAACAAAATCAGCGAGTGGAAATGAAAAGCTATGAAATGGCATAACAAGACAAATATTCGTTTTTTTTGTTTTAACCAGAAGTCCATTGTTAATTCTCAGAGGTATTAAATGCATCCATTTATTTAAAATAACATATAGATACTTTATTTTTCCCAATTGGGGAAGCTGGGTAGTAACTTTATCCTATTTAGTTTGGGTTCCCAACCTTTTCATGTCTGTGGAAGCAGTTTTTTCAGATGTTATCAGAATGTGTGAACATATGGGGTTGTAAAAAAAAAGTGTGGATTGAAAATAAATCCGTTATTTTTAGTATATTTGATCTTGAATTATTATTCTTGTTGTTGTTATTATTATTATTGTCGTTCTTCTTATTATTATTATAGTAGTATTAGTATTAATAAGCACCAAGGGCGCGTGGCAGGGGACACCCTGGACAGGATGCCAGCCTATCACAGGGCAGGGGACAGTCTGGACAGGATGCCAGCCTATCACAGGGCAGGGGACAGCCTGGACAGGATGCCAGCCTATCACAGGGCAGGGGACACCCTGGACAGGATGCCAGCCTATCACAGGGCAGGGGACAGCCTGGACAGGACGCACACACAGCAGACCACAGTCAATGCAGACGCACCTTATTTCGTTAGTGCGTGTCATTAGAGAGTGGGATGTAACCCAAGTTCAGTGGAAGCCCGGTGTTGACATGTGCAAACTCTTCACTCAGAGAGCCAGGACTCAAATCAAAGGCAGAGCCCTAGAGGCGTCAGGCCACGGCCCTTCTCACTGAAGCACCACTTCACTCCCATATTAATATCCAAATCCTTCAAAAGCAACGACGTACAAGGGACCAACATAATATTTAAAGACATAGGGGGCGACGTGTCTTCTGTACAATGAATGTGTCCTCATGTCATCTCCCCATGTATTCCTATGGATCCCGATGCAGACATAAATACCAGCTCTCCCTTCGATTAACAGGGAACCAAGGAGATAATAACAAGCCTACCTCCTGTGTGAAGCGTAGTTCCCAGTGATATGTCCCGAGCCGTCACATCCTGGAGTAGGGCACCTGTGGGTTGGGGAATGAGGTGCACTATTAGGCTAAAAGCAAGCAGAAGATACATGACAGATACAATCCAATGCACTGCATCATGGCTCACGGCAGCACAGTGTTTACAGGAAGGGCTCTTAACAGCCGCAATCAGCTGCACCACTAAACATGGACGCATAAGTATTCAACATTCCTCACCTATATGTCAAATGCATGCTGTGAATGTGATCCCAATTGATGGGTGACTGATGCTGAAGTAGGAGCAACATGAATGTGACTACATTAAGCTTTTAAATTGGGCAAATGAGGCCGGATGCGATTTGTAAACATCTAAATCTGTATTAAAGCCTCTTATGATTCTGTCTGTACAAGGTTATTAATTTTAACTTTTAAATTAATTCTGTTTTTTTCTTTTTCTTTTTTTTTTAAACATGAATAATTGCGCATGAGCCCCAAGATCACACATGAGGATTAAATGAGATAGCAAGATCGGATTTTTGTCATGATAGCAGGGATCCGCAGTGAAAGAAGGAAGTTGTGGCTCAGAAGCAGTATGACCAAGCAGGGAGAAGCAGCAGAGTCAGGTAGCCACACATACTTGAGTTCAGGAGAGTGGGCTGCCATGAGGGAACGCAGACTCTTATCAGCAAGAGGACACCCAGAGAGGCTGGAAGAGAGAGACAGGGAGTGGGCACAGGGCAGGAGTAAGGGGAGCCTGTTTCCGGAGCAGCACCGAAGGAGGGAAGCAGACAGGAAAAGCAGCCTTCGTGGAGCTGTGCTCTTGTTAAGAAGCCAATGGGACAAATGCATTTACTTGCTTCTCTGACACCTGTCAATAATTCTATAATCCAGGCCCTATAATCCAACTGGAGGCAGGACCACAAGACTACAGACCAACATGGGCAACTCAGGGCTTCCAGGCAGTATAGAAAGCACCTTTTATGATTTCGGGAGAAAAGGTTAGCTCGAAGTCACAGACTTCAGGCAACGGACAGGAGTCTGGGGGCAGGATTTAATGGAAATCCTCTTCAGATGTCAGATGCAAGACGGCGGTGAAATTTAGCAAAAACATGGAATGGCTGGAGTGGTTTGGGAACAAAATCAGTGTTCTTCTAGTCATCTAATGGAAAACTGTGCTTTTTCCCCTAAATAAATATATACTCACTACCCAGATAAATAGATTTAAACATTTTTTTTCATCCTGTTTTCCAAGACTGTAAAAATAGTAAAGAATTGTGGAAGATGAGCTTATTCTGAATGGTCAGCTGGCAGAAGGCAGCCTGGAGGCATACCTGCGATGGGATGCATAGTTTCCAGTGATATGGCCGCTACCATCGCAACCAGGGGTGGGACACCTAGAAGTAGTGTGTGACAAGGTTAGGTGGGTAAATGTTTCAGAACTTACAGTTTGCAGGTTATTTAATCTCTACATTAGAAGTTAACAAGAACCATGATGTTAGAGCCTGCAGGAGTTTTATACCTAACAAATCAAATCATTACGCAACCTAACACTTAGAATGTATACAGTTACGTCAGAAATGTGGAATAAAGATCTGCCCAAAAGTCCCTTTTGAAAAGTAGAATACTTACTTGGTTATTATTATATCGTGAAAGTGATTGCAATCTTAAGGCATATTTTTTATAAGCACCCAAATAGAACCTACAGTAACTAGCATGGAGTACGTAGTAAATAAGGGCTGTTTTTTTGACTGACTGTTCACTGGTGGCATTGAGCATGCTTGTGTCTCCACATAGGGCACTTACAGCAGGAGCTCCTTCTTGCAGTCCTTAGTCTGGAATTTAACTTTGAAGCTGGGGGTGGTCACTTCTCCGGGATACTTTTTATCCTCAGGGCAGTCTTGTATCACTTCACAGTCCTCAGGCTCAGATGACACATAGGACTGGCTCGTCTGCTCCATCTGCACAGAACAAATCAAGTAAGGAGCCTTTTTGCACAGAGGGGGCCAAGGAGTAACTATTTGATGCGCGTGTCTTTATTTTATATTTGAAGAAATCAGAACAGAAAAATGGGGAAATGCTGACCTCTTCCAGGTCTTCCTCTCGCTGACGATTGGGCTTTGTGTAATCAAGAGGCCCCTCCCATTCGTCCTGCTTGTAGGTGTGGATGGACTGGGGAGAGGTCACACTGCTGCTACTGCCTGGGAGCTGAGAGGAAGAGGAGAAGAAGGACGGGTCTGGGGAGTGGATCCCAGGGCTGCTGCATGGCATACTGCCCTCCCTCTTGGCACATTTCTTCATGCTGAGGTCCAGCGTTCCATTCTCGTCCACTTCTATATCCATTGCCTGAAGGAATAGGAGAGGACAGCGCTAGATTACACTGCCACGACATCGTCATCTTCCCCAACTGACAGCTAACCGGACTGTTTGCCACGATCATGGATCCGATCCAGTTGCGATCAGCCAAAGTTTTGCTGTTAAGAACCTATTTATCAAAGCAGAAAATGAACGCAGGCTCCATTTTTGGCTGAAAATGTAACTGGATACTGGGAGGAAGTGGCAGTAGCCAAAGAAATCTGAGAGCAGTGGGAGAGACAGGGCAGCTCCCAGAGTGCACCAGGGCAGATTACTGCAGTGCTCTCAGTCAGCCGCACCATTAATCTTCTGTTTTTTTTATTTATTTCAGAAACCTAGAGGAAAAAACATGCAAACAATGAAAAAAAAAACAATGTCAGGAAATGGAAAAAATGATGAAGTATTCATTCTGCAGCGGCACAGAGGGCTTCAAAAAAAAAAAATCACAAAAGTGCTGGCACAATTATACTGTCAGCAGAGGGAAAACGCGAACCTGCATTTATCATCCTATCTGCGCTGCATGCTTTCAGCCAACGAAAAAGATCAGCACGAAGCACTCCAAAGCTTAATCTAGGAAGACCAGACGGCCTTGCTTACTAATAATGAAAGGCCAAAAGGTTTACAGGTGCTAAATGATACTATCTCAGAGCAATCATTGTTACGACAATAACTATTCTGGGATGATGGCGATGGAACAGAGACAGGGAATGGCCCACCTTGCTGGGTGTGGTCTGCTGCTTGGTGCTTAGGTTCTCGGGCATTTCCCAGCATCGTGTGGAAAGGTTGAGGATGGCAGTGGCCGCCATGTGTGCCGCCTCGGCATCGTGGGAGTAGTCGTACCCACTAGATGAGGTGGAATTGCTCTTTGTATAGCCTCCAGGAATGTTGTGACTAGGGGAGGAGGCCTTATGGAGAGGTTTGGCTGTGGGCCCAAAAGTGACATCACCAAATGTAATACATTCCTGAATTTTGTGATGCACAAAACACAAACATATTCTTTATACATTTATAAAGATATTTTGCACATATGAGTTCAGGAATAAGACAGGGCAGCCTCGCACAAAGTAGGACATTTTAATTACATGATCATACTGTAATCCAGAATCCTACCCCTTTTCCCACCAATAATGTCAAAAACAAGCTAAAGCTGCACACATTTAAGAGCATGTTAAAAGTTATGAATGGAAGCTCAATGAACTCCTATACAAAGCTATTCTACCTGCACTTCAGACCAGGTAATCCATCTGAAGCTAAGTAGGTTTGGAGCTGGCTAGTACTTGGGTGAGAGACCATCTAGGAAAGCTGTGTTGCTGCTGGAAGAAGTGTTGGGGGGGGGTAACAGGTCAGCCCATCCTGTGGTCTGTGTGGATCCCAGTACAGTGACAGGGACGCTGTGGTACCATCTATCGGATGAGACGTAAAACTGAGGTCCTGATGCTCAGAGATCATAAAAGATTCCTGTGCGTCTTTTGAAAGAGTAGGGGTGGTAACCTGATGTCCTGGCTAAAATTGTCTACTGTGGCTCTGTCAAATCTGCCGTCCTAATCATCCCCTATATCTAACTGGTGAATCTCCTGCCCCATCTCCACCTTAGCTACTGTGTTGTGAGCGTACTGGTGCAGAATGGCTGCTGTCGCATCATCCAAGTGGGGGCTACACAGTGGTGGTGATTAAAGTGGCTCCCCACTGGTTCCATAAAGTGCTTTGGGTGTCTAGAAAAGTGCCATGTAAATGTCACATTCGTTCAAAGACGTTATCTGCTAAGGTAAGGAAAAGAAGCTCCTTACGTTTAAAGGCTTTTGGTGAGGTTTCAGTGGCGTGTATCTTTGGCGCGAGCATGCGTTTCCCAAAGACCTGAACGTCGAAGCTTGCATAATCGAAGGAGACTTTGGAGTACTTCTCCAGCTCCTTGGCTAGGTTGGCACGAGGAGTAGTAGGGAGCACACTCGGTCTGTAGCTGCCATAGTGTGGGATCTCCAACTGCTTCACAAAGCACATGGGCCTGTGGAGAATAAGAGGGGCTGGTTAAATGGATGGTGAGAAAGCAGGAGAATTATACCAGAATAAAGTACCTGGGAAGAGGACAGGAGGGAACAGACAGAATGAAATGGGGGACAGAAGACTTAGGATGTAAACAGGGTGAGGGAGACAGCAGAGGACAGAAACAACGTCTCAGGAGTGACAGATATGGGATTAAAATCCATCTTATCAATACAGGGCACATTAATATATGGTAGTGAGGAAGTTGAGAGCTTAAGATGTCTCATTTTTGTGAAGTATTCTGCTAAATCCTCAGACAGGCACATATGTCTCGACAGATTCCCTGCCCTTTATCGGGAAGAGAAAAGGTGACACCAGGAGACATTAGATGACTGTGAAGTTAAGAACAGGAGGATTATCATGACTAATCGCTTCTGTGTGTATGCTTCTTTAATTATGTGCCTTACATTGAAAGATGGAATTTGAAATTCAGAGAGTCTCTTTGGAAGCTCCTGCATGTTTTGCTAATAAGGTCTCAAAATCAGGCATGCTTATTAGAAGAAAAAAGAGATTAGGTTTGTTATGTTTTTAATCCTGAGTGCTTTGTTTGACCATGGAAGAGATTCCTCAAAGAACGTAATTATTTTTCAGTGCTCACAATGCCCTATAACTCGGATAATTAGCTTATCTGCGGGATAATTAAAATACTCTAGAAAATGAGAAAGGCACTCAGAATAATACCAGAATCAGGTCGTTAATTATAATTCTTGTAGATGCTATGAAAGGGTAGGAGGAATGCAGTAATGTGCAGATACTGAATTAGGGACCTGTTTAGAGCAGACTGACTAATCATGACACTTGGTGCACTTCGGCCTGACTGCAGCACGGACAAATCACGCGGCTTCCTAGCGGCCTGACGTCAGTGACATCAGAACGAAAGATGGCTTTTGCATCATCAGATGAAACTTTGGGTTACTTGTGTCATGTCCTGCCTGCCATGTCCATCTGACCCTCCTGTCTCCTCTCTGGCGTGTTGTTTTAGGTGACAGGGAGCTCCGCATCGCCATTTGTGTGCCTGCTGAGTATTCTCTCAGGAGGGACCATGTCAGTGGCTATTCGGCAAGCTGTTAGTAACGTATCTCTGACCCCGTTCCATCGGGACACTCGCTCACCTGAGTACTCTGTCAGAGTTTGGGCTTCCTTTGGCATGTTCACTCAGAGGCTGAGAGAGCTGCTGCTTCTCGTGTGTTTTTGACAGCTTCTCTGCTGCTGCGATGGGGCATCCAGACAAACTAGAGGAAACACAGTAATCCCCTGAAATATCATTTTCCCCTCAGGTATACTGTGCTCAGTTTCAGTGTTTCAGAGTTACCAGGGATGTGCTATAGCTATAATGGTAATACTTTACTTGATGGAGTACAAATAATATAGTATTATAGTATTACTTATGCATTAATTAGCCATAAAGTCTTAGTTACATACTGATCTCATGTTAGTTCAGTAACTACTGAAGGAACTACTGAAAGAACAAGTGACACACGTTAACATAAGTTAAATACTGATCTCGTATTTGTTCGTCATTAATGAATAATGATGGATCTTTTGTCCCAAGCAGCTACTGTATTTGTTCCTGTCTCTGTTAATTCTGTAAACCTTTGTGAATTACTGAAAAAACTACTAAGGAACTACTGAAGGAACAAGTAAAGAATAACACAAGTGAAATACTGATCTCATGTTTGTTCATCATTAATGAATGGCGACACATCTTATCTCAAGTAGCAATTATATTTGTTCATGATTTGTTCATAATTTGTACTTCAGTAGTACCTGAGTTATTACTAAGTATTTGTGCACCATCAAGTAAAATGTTACTGATATAATTATACACCAAGGAGTCATACAGCATATTTGTTAATACAAAATAGTAGTCTATCTTCCACAGGTAGCACACTCTGCATCAGCAGGAGCTAGAGGTGTGAAGCTGGTGCACGCATGTTAGCCAATAAAGACCAGTGAGAGGAGGGAAAGTTGAGAGGCTTTTGCACCTTCTGTGTGTGTTGCGGTTGCTGTTGACGTGACCCTGTCCTGTGCAGCCAGGCGTCGGGCACTTCAGCACATTCTCATGCATGGCCAGGACTGCAGAAACAGAAGGAATTGAGCAAAGCAGCCAGAAGCTTAAAGCATTGTCACGGCAGACTCTGCTTCGACCAAAGGCATGGGCTGGAATGGCTATGTCCCAGATGGATCTCAGATAGTGAAAAAGACTCAGGGAAACAGAAGTAATGTCACATTCATAGTCTATATTTTATTATTTTTTAGAGGAATCAACCTTTTTTTCATGTTTACTTGTTAAGGGTTGGTGACTGGAACTTCTAGACTGTAGAATTAGAATTTGCTAAAAACAAATACTGAAAGGTTTCTGATGGGGTAAATCACAACATAATGTAATGTCAGATGCAAGACAGAACAACTAAAGTACTCACTTTCTGGTGGGATTCTGTCCTTATGTGGGCATCCTGAAAGACTGCGGTGATGGGGGTAGAGTCCGGTCACGTGACCTGTTCCATCACACCCAGGCGTGGGACATTTGATTTCCCTTTTCTCTGGCCTGGAGCTCTCTGTGGTGTGCATGGAGTGTGGGACAAGTCTGTTAGACGTGACAATAAACCTGACCACATTCTCACATGGATGGTCAATGCATCTATTAACTTCTACCTCTTACTCCCAGACTGTCCCAAAAATAAACCTTACATGTGAGCAGTAAGCAGTCCCTAAAGTGGGACAGAATTATTACTGTAATTACCTACACAATATGTGATAATACCATCAAATCAACATGTCATTAACACAGGTGAGAAGATGAAAAGCCTGTGGCTATGGTTCGGCCAATAGAAAAAACAAAATGGCAGCCATTAAACTATGCTCAGGGCATTCTTCCTGTTTGTAAATCTGTATATAGAAATGTGAAGCCCTACATAGTGTGGAGAGTAAGAATGAGAGGAAATGAAGGAGAGTGACCTGCTAACTGAATGTTACTAAGACATGCAGCTTATAATGAAAACTGGACAGAGAACGAGTGGCATGCTGTGTTCACATAGGCAGGGCTGAGCAAGTGGAAGATTGGCGCTGGGACCCGAGTCGCACCACTTCATGTCATATCTGTCAAGAGATGTACTTCTGCATGGAATTCAACACCATGCTCAAGATTAATTTTAAGAAATTATTTTTACGACTACCCTCTTACCGAAAACAGTTTATGAAAATTTCCAGCATTTTCTGAGCATTAAATAAAATATATTCCAATTACCAATGGACAAAAAATTGCATGAAGTGATTCACCGTAGGCTTTAAAACTGTTGTGTCCCATTTTTTATTAAGAATTGTTATTTTTCCCTCATAAATTCAAAGGGAAAATCTGTACTCTATAAGGTACATTGCAAAAGCAAATCCTTTATGGCAAAGTAATAAAATTGCATAAATTTATATATTCAATTTCTAGACTTCTCTGAATACCCTCTCCAAATTATGCGTAGCACATAATCATAATTTGGGAAATAATTTCTCAGGAATATATGTCTAATATACGTCTTATATGCAGCATGTTTGTATTTTTCAGGCACTGAAATCTTTTATTTACCATCTTTTGTTCAATCCGTTCATATCCAAGTAGATAATTATTTCTAAACAATCCTGATTTCATTCATGTACTTCAGCCACTTTCAAAAAAATAAAAATCCTCATGAATACAATTTTGTGGTTTTTGCTGAAGTAATGTAAAAAGTCTACTTATATATTCAGATCATGCAATAAATGTATGAACTCCTGGGAAATTAAAATATTAGTTTTAATTTCTGCAAGTCTCATTTTTTTAATATTATTTGCGTGTTAAAATTATATGTATGTTGTACAAAGTAGCTGAAGATTTGCTGAAATGGCGCCTCCAGGGAATTTAACAGCTGGGGGGAAGTTCCGGCACCCAGAGGAAGAAAATAAGGTTAAATCCATGTATAACCAGCCGTACTTGTATGTATTTATGATGTGCCAGGCAGATATCACTGCATATCAGAGTTTTTTCTCTATGATTTATTCAATGATGGCCTTACCCTTGCTAAAGTAACCCTTGCGAATTGTATCCATGCGCTTCCTGTCCTCTGTGTTAAAGTACCGCAGGTGTTCAGGGCCATGGTTCATCTCATGGGGGCTTCTCACTTGTTCAGCTTTGAGAGCGATAGCTTGCTCCAGCAGGCCCAAGTTCCCCTTTGTCATGTCATACATCTCTGACTCGTCGGTTACTGCTGACTTTTGCGACTGGTTGTCCTCATCGTCCTCCTCCCTCTCTTCATCATCTCCATCTTCCTCCTTCTCTGACTCCTTAGACTGAACTTCGATGACAATAGAAGGTATGACCTTATGGTACATGTAGTCCTCTTGAGTTGCAGTTCTATGCTCCTCAGCCTCAGATCTTTGAAACTGGGTGCTGGTGGTGATGACACCAGAGAAGGCATGCACACTATAAACTTCTTCATCTTCTCCCAACTCCTCATCTACTCGTAGAACGTCCTGCTTCTCTAAGCCTAGTTCTCCCTTCACTACATTCTTTGCCTGGCCATTCTGTAAGTCTCCACTGAAATACTGGTGGTCTGAATTGTCATTTTGCCTTCTAAATTGCTTTTCTTGTTTTTCATCCTCATTGCAATCTTCTTCTTCCTCATCTTCATCTTCAAAATGCACCACTACTCTGTCCCCTTCAGTCTGTGGCTTTGTCACAGCTTTTTCCGTCGCCTCATTGGCCGTTCGACAGTTCTCACCTTCGTCCTCCTCTTCATCATTTCCCTGGTTGTCTAAGGGTGTTTTCTCTGACGCATGCTGCTTTTCCATACCTCTGGCCTTCAGCAGTTGGACAGGTATGGTGTCAGAAGAACTGTGTCTCTCAGCAATCTGGCCCAGTTTGAGCAGGGAGCTGGCCACCATTTCTTGGTAGCTTGAGTACTCGTCTCTCTGAGTACCTGCTGAGTCTTTTGGTTTTGTCTCTGAGTCTTTAGATTTAATTGTATTTGAAGGTTCCAGAACCACACAGTCCTCTGTATAAGATAATAGGAAAACTGAATGAATTAGAAAATTAACACATAAAAACACATCTCAGAAAAGAAGATGAGAAACACAAAGCAGAGAATATTCCGAAATATCTTTGTGCCAAGTACTCTGACTAGAGGTGTCATCATAATTACTGTGTCTATTATTGATTTTCCTATTATCCTTATAATTCATATTGCATAAAACACACCTTCCTCGGGCTCATTAACGTTTTCTTGCTCTTTGCTTTCTATTCTCTCTTCTACCACATCCTCTTGTTCTTCTGGGGATTCTTCTGATTCTGCACAAGACTCCTCTTTCAATTCTGTCTCTTCACTGCTAGCATCACTGTCTACGTTGTATCCTTCATCCAGGGCCAGCTTCAGGGGGTGGGACTTCCTCTTGGATATTGGCTGATCTTGGTCTGAGTCCACCTCTTGGAGTCTCCTTTTCCGAGCCAATGGGCAGCTTAGTGCACTATTGATGGAAGCCAGCGGTGGGGTGGGGGGGATGGGTCGGTCATAAGAAGCACAAGAAGGACAATTAGCATCACATTCAAGCGCATCACATCTGTGAACACCAATTCAGACAAACTGATCACCTGACACTCAGCCATAGTCAGGCGGTTCAATGACGAATAAATGAAAATAACACGCCTGTGCAAGGGTAAGTGACAAGGGATTTGATATGAATAATGGATAGGTGCTGAGTATGAACCCAACATGGAGCAATGTGACATAGCATCCAGCTGACTGGAAAATTTCATTAACAAAGAAAAGCAGTAGAGAATAGAATTCAATAAAACCTTCACCTAAAAACTAGCAGTGGGGGCAGAAAGATTTATAAAAGGAAATAATCCATAAAAATTCTCCCTAAAATGAGCACTCGCGTAAATAAACAGGAACATAATCTCTTTGCAATAAACCTTTAGGCACCTTTGAATGTGCTTGATATCTGAAGTTGGCTGTCTGTTCAGACTGAAAAACTTCACTCTCTGCTTCATTTCCTATTCTTTTGCTGTTCTAGTGCCATCTGGAAAGTCTCCATCCTTCAATGCTGTGTCTTCCCATGTACTGTAGTGCTGTTTACCAGCAACACAAGGCATCTTGGGATCAATTCTGACTCTTCTTCTAGTTGCTTTGGGCCTCGCCTATATCTGAAGCTGCTATACCGCCGGTGTTACTGCCCTACCTTCTGTGTCTTGCATATTTTCCACTGATATGGCCTGAACCACTGCATCCAGGAGTTGGGCAGCTAAATGGGGTCAGAAATAAATTGGATGAAATTAGTTGATTTGTAATACTTTTTTGTCACCCCCAAGGATCAAAAAATATTGGGTGCACTGATGCACAGGAAGTAAATCTTTGTTGGCAAATATGCATATGCCCACATATGCTTACACAGCCAAGAGTACAATTTGGAAAGGAGGCGTAAACACATTTTAAACTAATTCATAACGTTCACTATATCCTGAATTAAATTAAACTGTTTAAAATTAGTTCTAAACGTACTGTAAATATTACAAGAATGTCTTGTTTCTTCGTTCTTACTTCATTCTATGTATGACCTAGCAGGAATGACATTGCATTTATAAGGTAGCAGCACCACTGCTGAATCGCCTGATATGACCTCTCGCTTTACAACCTATAAAGACCTCTTCACGTAATATTCTAATGCCGCCAACAATCCCATCTTTACCTGCAATACCTACAAAATCACTTCTCATAACACATTAGCAGAACATTATAGCTTCAGTCTAGACATCTGTGGTATCCCCAAGGATGGCTAAATCAAATTCTCAATACCATTTTTTTCATAATGGCCATTTTTATTTAAATAAATATTGCTTCTATTTGTTAAATGGTGCATTAGCATTTTAAATCAAACTGCGCGCCCACTCTGATGCCTTTAGGTGTGAATTCTGAAAATTGATTAATGCTGCAAGGTGAAGCATGACAAATGAGAAATTAGTCAAAATTGACTTTTGATTCAAGAATGATGGCATAGTGATAAAAAATGAGGGCTGACTTGGGTTGTGTTTATTCAAAAAGAGCTGGTATTATTAGCAATATTACATTCTCAGGCATCGTACTTGCGATTGTATTATGTTTGTTGTTATATGTTCAATGCCGTCTACTCCAGAAACATCTGAACATACTGCATTTCTGAAACTTTAGGAAATATAGCCTAGTATCTAATATAAGCAGCTGTTTTCTTACCTGAATTCTTGTCCTGCAAGTTCTATTGGCACTATGTAACAGAGAAAAAACAGATGTGCAATAATAAATCAATCAGGATTATTGGCAAAAGATGGAGAAGCAAATAACAGAATACACAGTCTTTTTTTGATGGATTCCAAACAAATTACACTAAACTATAATGCTTTTCTGTCACCAACATCACATCAAATCTGAAAAACAAGGTAATGTTTGATATTGAAATTTACCACAAATCAGATTTTTAATTAAACTGTTAGGTAATAAAGATTAACAATTAATCAATAACAAATAATTTGCATCAAATGAAGTAATGAACCCCAACATAATAATAAAACCAAAAATCAAGACTAAAATAATTCCCATAAAAAAACGCAGAGATTCTCTTGCAATTATTACAGGCTCTTTCATCATCACTGTGACTAGAGGAATCCTACTGCGTTCATATCACAACAGGTAATTTCACCATGAATGAAATCAATCACTACTATGTTGTTATTGATGTGTGATGCTCTGATAGTTTTACAGGTAATTTTTAATGGAACTAAAAAAATATGCAGTTAAATAAAGCATTATTTACAAGAACCAACCTTATAATGTTAGTTTTAAAAATGACAACAAATAAATAAAACAAAAACATTTACACAAAACCTTTATCTGGACTCACCTCTTATTCCTTTGGACCGTGTGCGTGTTCTCTTGTGGTCACTGTCCTCGTTCATCTATAGCCAGAAGAAACGGTGAAAATCAGAGAGAAACACAAACAAACACAGACACATGCAAACAAAAACTAGTATCTTCAGTGAGCCAGAAGAAACAGCAAAAATCAGAGAGAAACACAAACAAACAGACACACGTAAACAAAAACAAGTGTGTTCAGTGAGCCAGAAGCAACGGTGAAAATCAGAGAGATACACAAACAAACAGACACTCGTAAACAAAAACAAGTGTGTTCAGTCAGCCAGAAGCAACGGTGAAAATCAGAAAGAAACACAAACAAACAGACACATGCAAACAAAAACAAGCACGTTCAGTGAAGAAGCTCCCCAAACATTCCGTCTCGATTGTTTTTGTTGCATCTTGTGTAACCTAGCACGTCATTCTCCCTTTTGTTTACAGAGATCATTGGGGACGGCTTTAAAATAAAAAATCCTGTGCAACGAACCTAGATGGAGCCGTTACTCAATTAAATACAATAGGATGGAAATGAAAAAGGGAGTTGTTGAAAGGTCTCAGTAAGATAACTGAAAGCAAAATAAGGCTCTGAAAATCCCAACAGTGAAAACCTCACAGCGTTTGTGCTTCTGCTCAATCCCACACCGCCCCCCTACCCCACAAGCCCACCTGGCCTTGTGCTGTAATTTACCGCACCTGAGTGTTCTCTGTGATTGGACACTGTACCGAGATGCGTTCCGTCTGGTGTGATGCCCTTTTATGGCCGAAATGCTACACAGTAGAGGGCAAGGCACAAAAATAATAACAGTCAATTATAACTCCCTGTTTCTAACATGCACACTTAGTATACGACAGTGGTTGGCACAAAAGACCAGGTGTCAACTGAACACCTCTCTTTTATTTCAAAGTGCCCCCCCCCCTTTTTTTTAAATGCAGCACACGCTTAGCAATCTAACGCCTGCTCCGACAATGAGGCCATTAGTTTTGATTACTAGGGACATCACGTTTATCGTGAGCTCTGCACTTAGCGGCTTTGTTCCCGATACTGGCGGATTTGGCAGGGGTATAGTTGATTTAAACAGAGTCTCTGGCAATCACCACTTCCTGCTGATAAATGATTTTAAAAGGGAGAGGCAGATTTTTTATTTTTTATTTTTTTAAAAGAAGTGCAGCATCCCCGGGCCTGTTCTGAGTGACTGGACTCTACAGGTGCAGTGGGCCCATTTCAGGCAGCACTTTTAATCAATCTAGATGAATGCCCAGTTACACAACAAGCCCACTTTGTGCACTACTTGATGGACCAGTCTGATTCTCTTCGTAGTTCTGCCATTAAACTTGGTTTCCTAAACACAGGACAGGCTATCTACGCGTAACATGCTCAGATTTTCACACTTAAGAAAGAATTACAGTGACAAAACGGGATGCATCGTTCTTGCTCTGCTGCTTTTAAAAATAACTGTCCTCAGTTGTTTGTATGTACATGTATCTCTGTTTGTATATATTACCATGATTCATTCTCATATTTAAATTATATATAACAGTTTTTGTGAACTAATTATAATAGGCAAGTATATTTAAAGATTAAAAAAAGAATTTTTGGTCTAGGTTTAAACCAGCATTTCATCTTGTCTTCAATCATATGATTTTATTGAAAAAATATGTGGGTTTTATCAGAGAAATGAGAGAAAGGCCCATAGGCTGGATGCACGGAGGCCTCTGTGTGCCTGCAGGCTGCAGTGTACATTATTAATAATGTCCCTCTTTGTGTGCCATACTCACAGGAAGGCTTTTCTGCTCTGCATTCTGACAGCTATATGTAAATTTCTGGCTGGGGGCAATGACTTCATAGAGAAGGTCACCCCTTTTCCCCGGCCTGCATAAATGAGCCTTTTATTCATTTTCACTTTTACAAGCAAGTCCAGGAGCAACACGGTGCATTTATTAGGCAATGCGAGCGGTTAGCGAGAGACAGACTGATGTTTTGAAAATTACCTGCAGGCTGAAACCACCAATTAAGAGCCAATCCATTCTGGAGTGCCGCTGCATGCCAGAATATGCTGCTGGTTCACTCGAACACTCCATAGTTCATCACAAAAAGGCACAAATATGCCTTATATGCTGCATTTTTTCTTACATATATATATATAATGTACAATATATTTATATTTTTATAATTCATGTTCTTCAGTTGTTTCAAACTGAATCCCTCAAAAGAAGTTTTTTTTTTTTAAAAGATCTGTAAGATCTGATACATCTCACGGGAGCATAAGCAAGTAAATGAAGCAGTCTTTTGAATAATCCTATTGAATGTTTTAAAAGCTGTGGCACTATTGAAAGCAGGAAAAAAAGATCAATAAAGCGATTCCTTTTGATGTATGCTCAATATCAGTGGGAGGAAACAGACCACAAGGCTCAGGAAATGGATCGCTTCCTTATATAATGCAACTGCAAGATACGAACGATCCCTCATCAAAAATGGGTATAAAACGAAAAGGTTTCAATTCTAACTTAAAAAAAAGTCTATTCAACAGGAGAACAAAACAAACACCTTGGCAGTAAAGATGTTGCGATACTGAAATATTTTTATGCTGATCAGTCAAATGTAAAGAACTGAAGGACATTCCCTTTACTGCTTGAGTTATAATTCTGAGAAGTGCTCTAAATGTGCTTCTTAAAATAAAATGCTGAGTACAGACAATTTGATTTGTTGTGTTTAGGGGCCTAATGTACAATATCCATGACTCTGGCACAGTGCACATTAAGTGTGGCTCCTCGTTCCCCCTCCTATCAGGTCCGCCACACCCTCTCCCCCACCCTCTCCTGCCAAAGCCCCTCTGATGCTCTCAAAAGGCAGAAGTAAAGTGCTGTGTCACTTACTTTGATTTGTCTGCCCAGAGAGCTTCGTGTAGATTCACAACTGCTGATTCTCTCTCCTCTCGTCCACCTCTGTTTCAGCAGCTCACCTCGAAACTCATTTTCTGATGGGTCACAGATGGATGGGGATGTATGTATGGGGGAGAGGCGGCAAGAGGGGAAGAGAAGGGAAAGGAGGCTTTATTCAGACGACGTCAGCAGAAGAGCGTGGAGATGAAGTGGAGAGCCAGCAGCACTGGAGGTGGACAGAATAGGGGTAACCCCACAGGGCAGCACGCTGCCGGCAGTGTGGTTAAGTTGAGTCCCAGCTGGAACAGCACAGTCTGCTATTAGAATCAATCAAATCTGTGCATTTTTATTGTCCTCTTAGTACTTTCAGGAGTATGAAAAGGGGTGGGGGCAGGGTGAAGAGGCCACTGAATAATGAATCATCCATAAATCAAGTTTTTTTTTTTACCCCCATCATTCTAATAGTCAAGCATACCTTCCCCTTCTAATCCACACACTATTACAAACACAGGAAAACCATGAAATCAGGCAGTAACCAAAGAACATTAAAAACCAATGTTACAATACAACAGCTCTACATTAAACTGCACACAAATGTGATTACTGCAAAATTATAGAGTGAACCTGGTTTACAACTTTAATAGCATTAAAGCTGACCAACAGCAACAACAGTTTTTCTTTTTCAGTCAATGCTAATAAACATTTTGAGTTAAAGGAAATCTGTCAATAAAATATCTTTCAAAAAATTCCCTGTCATGCAGAAGCAGAACTGGACACTTTCTCAAAAAATATTTTATCTATAACTCAGACCCTAAGCAAACACACAGAAAGCACTAGTCAGGAATAGCGTGCCTCTTAATTTAGTCGAAAACTTACCGGAGACAAACTTATCGTGGGAAAACAATTTCCAGGCAAACCTGTCTGTGCCAGATTTGTTTGAATTAAGTTTCCTTGGTGTTGTGTTTTCCCAGATACAGAGAAGCATAGTTTCTAAAAAAATCAGTTTTACACCTTCTCCATCCTCTAATCTGATTCATTTCCTGAGAGTGAGTGCCTTTCCTTAACCACCATCTGTCTGTCCCTCGGCACTGGTACAGAAGCCTGCGGCTGTAGCCTCCAGATGGGAATGATGAGAATGAGTGAAGCAAAGTTAAACAACTACATCTCATACTCTTCAAACCAAAACAACAAACTCCCTCACAGTCCACCTCAAAGACCCCCCCCCCTGCCTAATCGTCTTTTCATCCCACCACATTTCTCTTTCCTATCTTTCTCTTATTCTACTGAAAGAAAAACTATGTTTTGCATGGCTTTAAATGTAGGTATTAAAATATAACAACTTATAGCTGTTTTTGTAAAATAGTTGCGTAAACAGCACCAAACAGAAATGCTTCAAGAAGACCATGACCTCCCACACTGGTCACTGACAAGGAGCACGAGCCGTGTTGATGTAGTAGGTCAAACTACCCTTTCCCTAACAGCAGAAAACAAATGACCTAGTGGAGGGTGAAGGATGAAACTAAAATTTCAAAACAACAAATTCAAAATATCATGAAGAAAATCTCCTTAAGACATCTACAAATTTTTAACTCTTAATTTTATTTGTACAATCAGTTGCAGATGTGAAAGAACCTTTGTAATACTCAATGTCCAAAATGTGCAATGCATTGTGAGTCTAAAAGCTTCACACAATAGAAAGAGAATCACATCCACCTTTTCTAATATCCTGCTTCCACCATGAGGCTGCTACTAGTAATAGTGATAATACTTAATAACCAGTGTTTCATTCACCAACTTAAGAGGTATCATTTAAAAAATGTGTACACATGATTTAAATAATCATTATTTTCCTTGATATTATTATTACTAATATAGCGTGACACTAAATCAACAAAATGAAGAACTTCTTACAGTATTTCGCACAATTTATTATTATTATAATTATAAATTTAAATAATCAGTTTTTGGTACATACAAACAACATCCAGTATCGTTGTTACAGACTGGGAATGGATTGGTTTATGACTGATAGTGTTACAGTATTTTCAGTTTACAGATGCGATGCGTTTTCGACTTCTAGGTGAGCAGAGGCGGCTGGAATGTTTCTAAATGGCGACATGAAATGACCCCCCCGACACACACACGCACGCACGCACACACACGCACGCACACACACACACACACACACACACACACACACAGACACATACATACACCCCTCCCCCCCAGCACGACAACCTCTCAATTCTTCCTTTTTCTATATAACCTTACAGTTATGTATTACTTTTATTATTCGGCCTTAATTAAATGAATTAAGTGTGAAGCTGAAGCTTAATAGGATGCGATCGATAACATAAAAAGGTGTTTTAAATAACTACATTCAGGAAAGTCGGGTGAAACATTTTTTTTCAAGAAATCCCGTTCTTAGTGCATGGACACGCTATATGAAGCAGTCAGAAATAATTCTAATCAATAATTTATCGGATTGATCATGACAGTAGGCCTACATAATACATTAATTTCCATCTATTAAAAGCAAATCCAAATACAAAAAATCAAGGCAAGAAAACTCGACAACAATACACTATATGCAAGTCTGACCGCGCCACAGTTGTCTATTTCCCTATTAGTTTTCTGTCACATTCACGTCTGGTCTAATTAATCTGATTAAACAATGTTGGGGCGCACAGTAAAACAGGATACGTGCAAAGAACTTTTAAACTCTCAAACCAATTCTTGTTTTTCTGAGGCGCCAGTCTGAAGCTAAGAAAACGAAACACTGAGCATCGCGTAACAAGATATTACGCCGGTAAATTTACTGCTGCTGCTGCTACTACACATCCTATACTACTACTACTACTTTATAATAATAATAATAATAATAATAATAATAATAATAATAATAATAATAATAATTTAAAAAATACGACGTTTATAAGAGATCTATTATGTGAATATTGTATAAGAGTTCAGTGGTTAAGTTTACTTAATTCTTATCCGGCCGAACACCTCACCACTGTCTTGTAGTTTATCTATGTCAGAAACAAGCTCCAGTCTTGAAGACGTATCGTACTACGTCTCGTAACGATTACGAACCAGCAACCATTTAAGCAAACAAGCCAAGATGTTTATACAAAACACCATGACAAGCTTGGTAACGTACTGATATATAGATCGCAAGATTTCATGAAAGAGCGAGCAGTTCAATAAATGCAAAATACCTGCGTTGAAATATTTCTCGTGGAAGCCTCTTCCTTCGACAATTGCGAGTATCCTTGTCTTTATTTCAACAACTTCAATTCTAAGTCAGCGAACAAGTCCGCAATATCCCAACATAAATACCAGTTATTATTATCCACTAATATTCTGATTCTGTTAATAAAAAAATAACAGAATTATGGTACTTATCAGCGTTATAAGCAGCCCAGCATTCGTTGCGTCAAATGTTACTTGTTTGTAAGCAAAAACATGGCTTCATTTGCCTTTGTCAGCGAGAAAATGTAATATTGACTTACCTTTCCCTCATGAACCATTGTCCCCCCCCCTCCCCTTCGCGTGACATCACGGAAAGCTGTAGTAAAACCTAAAGCACAACATCATATGGGCAGGGCTTCAGGTCCCCCCACAGCCAGTGATCTGGATACGCGCACATATACCCACAAATACCTCTCATGACCTTTTGAGTTTCAGAACTAAACGAAATCAAAGCAACTATCACCAAGACACCAATATCTACCGCACACAGACAAAGAATCGTGCCCAGTGAGCCATGTTTTCATCTTTTACGCTCGCATGCAGACACTTATTAATGTCATCCAATGGTGAATCTGAGGATGAATGAATATTCCACATTACATTAGTTACACTAATTATAAAATCATCAGCTTTTGCTTAAAGCAGAATGCGGCTTATTCGGGCTAAGTGATTAATTTTTAATATCCTCTCTCACTCCAGGAAGGCTTGAACATGTCACAACTGTCATTGGAACCATCCCCCTATAATTTCTCGCAGGTGGTACCGTCCAATAACTCAGCACAATGGCCACTTCACGGAGCAGAGGATGGATGTGTACAATATCTTTGCATATTCATCTTGACATGGCCGCATTCGGGAAAAATTGTTTTTATAAAAAGGGCGTCAAACAGTAATACGAATGTGAGTTGAATAAGCGCATAAACTTAAAAGGAACGAATCAACAGAATATCTTACCAAATGTTACTACAGAAATTGATTATTTATGCAGCCGTTTTTCCAATAATAGGTTTTCAAGGGGAAATTGACAAACGTGTTTGTTTTTAATGACAGACTCAAAGTTTAGAACATCTTTTTGTCATTCTTTAGATTACAAACAAAATTGAATAGGATGTGTCCGATATAGACATGACGATTAAGTGCATTACAGTTTCGTAATGAAGAGGTAATTAAACACCCAAAAAAAGTATACCTGCTTCCACTTAACTTCCACAAATAATACATAACGATTTTTTTAATACTCTCAAATGTTACGAAGTGCACCGTTTGCTTTTGTTGTTTCCTAACCATTAGAGAAAATGACAACCATTCATTACAAGCCGTTTGAGAATATTCTTCACAAATGCCATCCTTTATCTCATGCCTCCACATTGTGCATGCATGGAATATTCAAAAGCCAACCTTCGTCTTTCAGAAATTCTATTAAAATCTTATCTCTTTGCAGCAGGCATTTTTTTGCACTGCCATTGTTATGCATTCAAGCTTAAATCAATCACCGATGTCCATGCCGCATCAATATGATTTCACTTCCACTATAGCTTGCGATTATCCGCCAAAGCGTCAAGTGAGTAAACAAAAGGGTAAAACACACATAATCTATCGCCTTCTATCCAAAACGCACCAAGTGTATCGGGTGATACTTTAAGTTTGTAGCATAACACCAGCTTGCAGTTTTTTTTTCTGGTCAAGCAACTAATGTAACTTCAGGACCCAAGACAGCAGCCTTAGCCCCCACAGTTCAGAACCACGGACAGCAACGTAGATCTTTCTCAGGTGTAGTAAGGTGCTGATTTTTTTCAAGCAGGCGTGGGTTTAGTGACATTGATTGCCCTGGTCGCTCCTGTATACATATCGATATGTAAGTTATCTAACGCGGCTACTCAAAGGGCTCCGCTGGGCTTCATCAACATAATTAGCAACACGAGAACACAGACCGACACATCAATAATATTGTGACACTATAAGGTTCTATTATGAGGAAAATAATAATAGCAAAACAGAAGGTAATATAATAAAAACTACGTCAAAAAAATCGTAAGAAGAAAAGTTTTCTGAATATTTAATGAGCATGTGCTTAGTCGAATACCAGCTGGATACTTTTTTTCCTCCCGGCCAGCCTCTGTCCATATGGGGAGCCCCATTGCTTTAGACTACGATTAGTTATGTGCATAAATGCAATAATCTTGCTGGCTGGTATTATCCCCATAGCATCGAGAGGAACAGTCCTTAGGCATCCATCTTTTTTCTACTTTTATGAAAAATAAATTTGTCGATCATTCCAAATTATGAGAAATATTCAGCTTGGAAACAACGGATCGCTCAAATCGTACAATAATACCGGGAATGACACATGCACGTCCGTTTTCAGTATAAACTATATTTTTGACTATAAATAATTTGAATAACATATAATTTTATACAATTGAAAAACTCTGACCAACTTAATTGAACATGATAAACCACTGAAAATGGCCTGTTTCCAGCAAGCTTCTTCGTAGTAGAGTTGACATACAATCAACAAGTGATATGATTCTTAAACTGCGCTATAATTAAAACATCTACCATTTACCAAATCATTCGTTTCGAAGAATATTATATTAACTATTGATAAATATCGCGTTAACATACAAATAGTCTACAAAATGAAACACTTCATAGAGTGCTAAGTTTATTATATAGGCCTATGTTAGACAGGCCTACGCATAAAACGAAAACGTATCAACATAACATAAGGTTGAAACTACTACAACATAACTGAGAATCACATGACAGCTGTTATTTGATTCTACATACATTTAAGTTACATCGCTATCTGAAGAATACAATTGACTATAACTGTTTAAAAAATGACATATAGGATAGTACGAACCTAGAAAAGTTCCGCACAGCTTCATGTTTGACGTCTTTTTCCCTTCATTTACTACCATCGCGCACGG